GTGAGATTTTGCTATTTTGTGTTTATATACGTTGGATTTTGAAGCGGTGGGGAAAGATGTCGGTATAGAAAAGACATTTTTGTATAAGGCGTCGGCTTCTTTGAGGTGAAAGGAGCCGACGAAGGGAAAAAATGTGTTGGTAATGGTTCGGCCAGATTATCCTGTCAGGATTATATATTTCTGAAACCTACATCACACCAGACCGCATCTCACGATTTCTAAATAAATATTGATTAACGGTCACTAATCACCACAAATGTGTTCAAAATCGAATTATTGACGCATTTTTGTTGATAAGCAAAATACTTTTATTGAATTTGTTTTCTATTTTTTTTTTAAACTTTAATTACCAAAAATGTTAAACTAAAAAGGAATATATCTCTAAAAAGTTATCTGTGTTGAAAACCAAATTACTTTTTTTAATTGATTGTTTCCATTTTTCCTGTTCTTAACTTACCAAAAATGTTAAAATTGAAAAAAATGTGTCTAATCGATACCACCATTTGATCAAATCTAGTTGGATCAACCGTGTTATCAAACGTGGCGCGTTTCTTGGCCTCCGCCCCTCCGTAATTGCTCCAATTTGGCTCGGACCGTTCAACTTTTCCCCTCGAGTTGAATTTTTCAGCAGAAACCAACCCCATAAATTGTCGATAAAGAAACACCAAAAAAGTCGCTCCGTGTATTTATAAAAAAATGGTATTAATTAAGTAAACAGAAAAATGCCGGTATCACCAAATTTGATCCCTCCCCCCGTCAGACAGTAATGCCAACATTTCCTAGGTTGTGATCACGTGACTCATGGATAGGAGTTAAGGATCACTTCAGGTACGGCTTGAATTACTTTATTCCGTCAAATAAGGTTATATCCCCATTGTTTTTTTTTTCAACACATTAATACATCCCCCTCGTGCATTGTCTAATCTCAATTATCGGTCGGAAAAGAAGAAAATCCCCGAGTGAAAAATCGTAATCCGGACCGCGGCTATTGTCAGTCCGGCCCTCGTCCATACATAGCACAGATAGGTATATAACACAAAAAACGAAATGGCGTCCTCCCCACATGGTAGTTTATAAACGGGTTTTAATATATTTTATTGATAAAAATACGTTTATTCTTATAATTCCAGTTTGAAATATCAATTGTTAAAAGTGTAACCGGTGTAAATTGTTTTTAAAACGGTAATCGCGGGCGAGCCGGCCGATCTGCTGTACTACCACGAACCTCGCCACTTCCCGACGTGTTATTCGGCGTTTTTCTCTCTTAATTTTCAAACTCATTCGTCTTTATTTACGGCGATTATATTACGGCCCTGTGTCTCGAACGGAGTTCTTCTCGATGGGAGCCGCTTTGCTAGGTTAAGAACGGAAGGAATCCTGCGGGTGTCCGGACGTTTGACAGACGGACGAAAGTGAATCTCCCTGCTCTTTTCGCCCCTGGGGGTTTCTTTATTCCGATCCAATTCCCCGGCCCTTGAACTTCGTCCATGTAATTTTAACTTTTTTTTTTTATATATATCAAAAAGTCGCTTTGTTCCGAACAGAAAAGGACTAAAAAGTGTTTTTTTCCATTTGTTTTTCTTTACAGTTTTATTTGTAAATAGGAAGCAAGACTGTGTAAATATAATTAATAATTTAAGAGGAACGTAACTATGAATCAGAGTACCAACAAAGTACGGAAAGGAAGAATGCCCGAGGTCAACAAGGATAACAATCAGAAAGTCGTCCGGACGAACGATATCAAAGTTGACAACGCCAAGCAGACGGACAAATCCCAGGTATGAAAATAATCCAGTCTATTAACTATTTCAAACTAACTTGTGTACGTTTTACGGGTCGTCGCATTTCCCACTGTGGCCCTCTTTAACACGTTTTCGAACAAATTCAAATGCCACGAATTGAGCAAAAACAAAAAACCGAACTATTAAATTTTTCTAAAAAAAAAACCTCCCTCTAAACTTTTTTTGTTTTAATTCCGTAATATCGTGACAAAACACTATCGTGTGACTTTTATTTACCAGGCTGAAGTTTCCCTGGCTACCAAATCCCATTTAATTCGTTTCGGTCGGATGAAGAATAGTAAAAATCTTAGCACGTCAATTTTTTAGAGTTTTGTAGATTGTCAGCTTGTAAGAATTAGCTGGCCAAAATGAGAAGAAACCGTTTTCTATTACACAACGGACGCAACGTGAGTTTGAACCAATTTTCAATTGAATCCGCAAACTGCATTTTTTTTTCTATAATTCCACGTTTTATTTTTGATTTTTTGTTTTTTTAAACTACACTTAACAATAATACCGAGATTTATGCCTAGTTAATTTTCAATGTAATTGTATTTCCCTTCATAATTATAAAATTTCTATTTTAACAAGTCAGTTTTAAAAATTTAAAAAAAAATCCAGCTGTCGAAAACAAAAAATGTATTGTTCTTATCAGTTAGATCAAATAAGTATAACAAAACTTAAGTTCATTCAAAACTTATTTAAATTATAAATGTCACTTCTATTAATCGTAGAAACAATCCAAACGAATGTCTAAAATTGTTTCCTTTCTAAATAATGGACTCGTTGTTATTATGAACAATCTTCATTTTGCCAAGAATAACAACCACAAAAAGTTGTTTCTTTGTTTTGCCTAGTTAACAAAAAAATTTATTTCAGTCTGATCATATTTTATCTAGTAGAAAACAAAAATAATAATAATGAAAAATGTATTTAAATTGTAAATATGAATTTCCATTAAACGCAGAAACAATCCAAATGAATGTCTAATATTTTCCTATATAAATTGACTTAATAGTGTTATTAACTTCATTAACAACTTGAAATTTCTTAACAATAACTACAAAAAGTTGTATCTTTGTTTTGCCTAGTAATCTAAATTGTATTTAAATTATAAATATGAATTTCCATTAATCTCAGAAACATTCCAAAATAAATGTCTAATATTTCCCTACACAAAACAATCTTACATTTACTAAGAATAACAATTACAACAAATGTATTTAAAGTTTATAAATACTGTACTGTTTGTTGGAAGAATGAATTTTTCTTATCAGCATAATAATCTAATACAGGAATAAGAAAAGTTAAGTTGATTCAAAATTTATTTAAATTATAAATATCACTTACTATTAATCGTAAAAACAATCCAAATGAATGTCTAATATTTTCGTATGTAAATTGATTCAATGGTGTTATCAATTATTAACAAACTTAAATTTCTCAACAATAACTGCAAAACGTTATTTCTTTGTTTTGTCTAGCAATTTAAAATGTTTTTAAATTACAAACATGAATTTCCATTAATCGGAGAAGTAATCCAAATAAATGTTTAATATTTTCCTATCAAAATTAACTCAACAGTGTTATTATTCTTGTTAACAACTAAATTTCTCAACAATAACAACTACAAAATGTTGTTCCTTTGTTTTGCGTAGCAATCTAAAACGTATTTAAATTGTAAACATGAATTTCCATCAAATGAATGTCTAAAATAGTTTCTATTTCAAACAATTGACAAGTTGTTGTTCTTATTATAATTATTATTATGAACAATCTTCATTTTGCCAAGAATAACAACTACAAAAAAAATTTTCTTTGCTTTGCCTAGTTATCAAAAAAAGTTTATATCAGTTTGATCATATTTTATCTCGTAACAAAAAAATATATTTAAATTATAAATATGAATTTCCATTAATCTCAGAAACAATCCATATAAATGTCTAATATTTTACCACACACAACATTCTTCCATTTACTAAGAATAACAATTACAACAGATGGGTTTAAAGTTTATAAATACTGTACTGTTTGTTGAAAGAATGAATTTTTCTTATCAGTATGATACTTTTAATACATGAATAACAAAAATTTAGTCAATTCAAAATGTATTTAAATTATAAATATCACTTTCTATTAGTCGCAAAAAATATCCAAATGAATGTCTAATATTTTCATATGTAAATTGACTCAATGGTGTTATTAATCTTATTAACAAACTTAAATTTCTCAACAATAACAACTGCAAAAAGTTATTTCTTTGTTTTGTCTAGCAGTTTAAAATGTTTTTAAATTATAAACATGAATTTCCATTAATCGCAGAAGTTGATTGTAGTAATCCAAACTGATATTTAAAATAGTTCCTTTTCCAAACAATTGACAAGTTGTTGTTATCGTTATTATTATGAATAATCTTCATTTTGCCAACAAAAAAAGCTGATATAAACTTTTTGATCATATTTTATTTCGTAACCCCCCCCCCAAAAAAAAAAAAAAAACGTATTACAATTTAAAAAATTAATTTCCATTAATCCAAATGAACAGCTAATATTTTCCTGTCCAAACTGATTCAATTGTGTTATTAATTAATCTACATATGTTTAACGGTCATAATTGACCATATTAATTATTTCAAGTAAGGTCTTGATTGAGATGAAAAAGTTAGTGTCCTGAGCAGGGTGAAATTAATCTTATTAACAACCTTTAATTTACCAAAAATATATCTTTATTTGCCTGGTTAACAAAAAAAATTTATAGCAGTTTGATCATATTTTATTTCATAATAAAAAAATTGTAAAAGGTATTTAAATTATAAATATGAATTTTGCATTAATCGTAGAAACAATCCATATTAATGTCTAATATTTTCCTATCTAAACTGACTCAATAGTGTTCTTTCTTATTAACCACCTTAAATTTACCAACAGGAACAACTGCAAAAAATTATTTCATTGTTTGCCTAGTTAACAAAAAAAAAAAAAAGAAAAAAGTTTTATGCTTTTATCTAGTAATAACAAAAAAGTTTTCTATGTAAATTTCTGACCGAACCAGTGGTAGTCTTATTAACTTTATTCCATTTGCGTAAGAATAACAAATAGAACAAACGTATTTAAAGTTTATAAATACTCTGCTGTTTGTTGGGAGAATGCATTTCTCTTACCAGTATGATCATCTTTAATCTAGCAATAACAAAAACAACAGTTAATGAAAAATGTATTTAAATTATAAATCTAATTTTACATTAATCGCAGGAATAATCCAAATGAATGTCTAATATTTTCCTATCTAAACTGTCTCAATAATTGTTTTAATCTAATTAACCTTAAATTTCCCAATAATAACAACTATAAACAGTTATTTTATTGCAGTTTCCAAAAAGAAAACTTTATTCCTTTGTTTTCCCTAGTTAACAAAAAAAAGTCATATAAATACAGTAATATCTTTTAATAGGATACATTTTTCTTATCAATATGATCAAACATTGTAATAACAAAAATAACCGAAATGAATTACACTTATAATTAACACTTTTCAATAAATTGCTGAATCAAACCAAGCAAATGTCTTCTATTTTCATATCAAAATATCTAACTCAACAGTTTATTCTTACTAACAATTTGCCAAGAACGATTACTACAAGAAGCCTTAGTTTACAAAAAAAAAGTTTATTGATTAAAATACGATACTATCTGTTGGGAGAAAACATTTTTCTTATCAGTTTGTTGATCATAGTTTAGTCTAGTAACAACCCAAAAAAAAAGTTAATGACATGTATTTAAATTATAAGTATCACTTTCTATTTATCGCTGAAACAATCCATGTGAATGCCTAAAACAGTTGCCTAAACAGTGCCTTTCTAAATAACTGACTTGACAGTCTTATTCTTATTAACAATCTTCATTGCGCGTGGAACGCAAAATTGTTTTTTCTGTTTTGCATTGTTCACCAAAATAATAATTTTTTAAATTATATTAATACTATACTATTTTTGGTATAATGCATTTTTCTTATCAGTGTGTTGATGGAAGAATACATTTTTCTTATCATGTATTTAATGTATTTAAATCATAAATATTATTTTGAGGAGCTACAGACAGTCTTTTTCCTTTCAAAATAGCTGGCCAAAAAATGTTTTTCTCCATATTTATTTATTTACTTAATTCAGAATTAATGCCCATTTTACACACAAAATTGTTTAGCTATAAACTTAGAAATGTTCATTCTGTTTGATAAATTTATTATTCTTATCACCATGATCATGTTTAATTTTGTGTCAGCTATTAATTGAAATTTAATGTATTTAAGGGGGGGCTTCAGTGGCCGCAACAGTTTAGGCATTGACGTGCATTAGTACATCTTGTTTGAATGTATCTGTAAAGGAATTTTTTGAATAGAAATTTTTAATTACTTTCACTTTACATAAAATCATAAAATACAGCCTGTTGGAAGAATGTCTTCTTATCAGTTTGATCATATTTAATAAAGTGATATCAAAACAGGTCATTAATGCAAATTTTAATAATCTTACATCATAGGTTATTTGGCTCAAATATGATTGAAAAGATTTTTCTTTTAAATAGCATTTTTCATTTACCCATTCATTGATATATAATCAAAGCGAATGTTCAATAGTTTCTTTTCTAAATAATTGTCTCAACAGTGTTGTTCTTATTACCAATCTTCAATGTGCCAAGAACAACAAATACAAAAAAAATTCTTTGCTTGGCCTAGTTACAAAAATAATTAATAATCTGCTAAAATAATTATTAATCTATATGTTTTTAGTTGGTCCTAGTTAACTACCGTGATTTTTAAATTGATTGGTAATTTTTAAGTAAATTGTGGTTGGGATGAAAAAGTAGTGTCATGAGTGGGACTCAAACCCCCGACCTCCCAGGATATACTATATTATAGTAATTATTCATCTCAACTATACTTTATATCAAAATTGTCAATCAATTTAAAAAAATAATTATCATTTAATTATATAAATATTTCACTATCTGTTGGTGGAATGCATTTTTCTTATCAGTTTGATCATACTTTAATATAGTAATAATTTAAAAAAAGATAATGCAAACCTTAAATCTATTTAAATTATAAAGAGTGATATGGATTTAATCATTACATCCTGTGGTAATCCGGTTGAATAACTCAGAAGAAATTTTTTTCATATATATATCATTTCTTATTAATTGCAAAAAGAAAACATCAAATGTCTATAGCTACTTTTCTAAATAACTGACTCAATAGTGATCTCATTCTTAATTACCAATAATCTAGAATAATTAATAAATTTAATAGATTATTTTTATCAGTTTGATCATATTCAATCTATTACTAACAAATACGACAGTTAATGTGTACTTTAAATCTATTTAAATTACGATAGTAATAATCATTCCATTCTGGACCATACTCAAACATGATTAGGAAGTAAATATGTAAAATAAGCATTCCACTAATGGCAGAAAACAACACTGCTAATTGTTCCTTTTCAAATAATTCAAACAATGGTGATAATCCATCCCAGTCATCCATTTATAGTTACTCGAGAATATCAAATACAAAAATTAACTTAAGTGCTATTGCAATATCTTCAAAGGTAAAAGTGATGAACCTTATACTTTGATGTTGATGTGTTGTACTGAATTTATTCTCGCTGGTTTTGCCTCCTTACACACATTTTGTACAAAATAGATGCAGTCTAACCACTGAAAGTGGCAAAATGTTGAAACATCTAACAGCAAGAATTTTAAGGCTATTAAAAGTATATTTATAAAGAAAACATATCATTGGTTGAAAATGCGATCCAAGGAAATATTATTTTAAAGCCCTTTTAAATAAGACCCAATTTTGTGGTGAATTTTATATTTTTCCTACTTCATGCCCAATTTATCAAATGTCAAAAATAAAACCTCAGTGTGTCGGGTTTAAATGGTTCGAACCCGGGACCTTTAAAGGTAGACTGTAAAGACAATGATGAGCCTAAACCGTTTGGCCACCATGCCCGAAGTATTTTAGATAAACACTTTTTTTTTCTTTTCTCTTCACATTTCGACCTTTTTTCGGGTAATCTTCAGGGTCTGGGTAAATTACAAAACATGTTGATCGGAAAAATAATTATACAATGCAAAGTAAATTGTATAAATTTTGAACCAAGTATTTCACACAAAGTGTGGTGCTATTCTTGTGATTATGTTGTAGTTGTGCTGTTCGTGTGTATCTTACTAGTATCAATGCAGGGGCTTATCCTTAATTACCCTGAGGAATATCATGTAGTCTGAGATAGTGTGAATGAATTGTGGTGTGTGATTGTAATTTATTAGTGTAAATGTGGGGACTCATCCCCAACTACCCCAAGGAATATATCGAGTACCCAGGGGTAGAGTGAATGCTAACCGACTATTTTTTGTGTATGCGTTTGTTATTTGTGTATTTTTTCCACAATTGACAAGGCCCTTAGATACAGCGAGGTCAACAATAGGATAAACAAAAAGAGTCATTAACCGTTATATCATAATATATAACATGAACTTGGCTGGAATGTGAAAAGAAATCAAAAGGATTAAAATGTGATAAAGACAGGAAAAGAATCGAGGGCTGGCGATGACTAAGTCGTTTTCGAGCTCTTAACAAAAAAAAACAATAAAATTATTGCCAACTTTACAATAAATCTAGTTTAACTTATAAATGTAATACGATCTGTTAGAATAATGCATTGTTTGTTTTTTCTGTCATCTTGATTATATCATATCTAGTAATAACAAGTAAACAATTGTTTCATTCTTATATATATTTGATTTATCAGTAGTGCTTTGCATTAGTCATTGCATACCACAGTACCCCCTGCTCCTCAACTATGATAGTGCAGTAAAATTTCTCCTCAAGAAATTATCATAATTAGTCGGATTTCCTTCACCTCATAGTTTTATTAGTCACTTATATATTTTAGTTTGTTCTACATTTATAGCAGGCAATAATAATAAGTTAACCATTTATGGATACCAAGCGGTAATCATTACATGACGCACAATGCTTGACTATGATGGAAAAGTAATTGTTTTAAAGAAAACTTTCAGATAATGGCGAAAACAACACAATGAAATGTCACTAGTTTTCGTGGTCCGCTTGACCAATTAATATCTTTAAATTAATTAAGGCAAAAAGGAGGGAAAATTCGAAAGGTGGGGTTGGGATGGGAAGTTGGTGTCCGAGTGGATCGAGGTCACGATAGCTCAAGTGGTAGAGCAGCGGCGTATCTAGCTGAAGATCGTGGGTTCGAATCCCGCTCGTGATACTGACTTTTTTTATCTCAATTAAAAACTTAATTAATTGGAACATTGAAATGTCTTAAAATAGCTCATGTAGTGTTTTTCTTCCTAATTACTAATAGTAATGATAGATATAAATAAAATAGAACGTGATGGAAAAATTATTTCTTCTTATTGGCGTGACCTTATTAATCCTAAGAATGAATTTAGTACATTTATACTATTTTTTTATGGCTTCAGTTTTATAGTTAGAGCTATAACAAGTAAATAATAAAACATATCTTGAAGGTATTTTTAATAAAATTTATAGGCTAACAAAAACGAGTCAGTATCAGGGTGTATCACTTCTATCATCCCACCCCCCCTTATTTCGAAAAGATTTACTTTATCAAAAAATGATCTTATACAAACCCCAAGTTAATTTTGGCTAGGAATCGCGTGGTGGTAACATAAAATTTCTCATCTAGCTGGGAAATGACATTAACTTACTTTTTTTTTTTTTTTTTTTTTTATTCTAGAGCTTATTTTATGCCTCTTTTACTGAAAGGAAAATTTTGATAGGATCAACCATTTTTGAGTTATGCCCAACGGAAGTGAGGGGTATGCTTTTTGTAACAACAAAATGGCCCTTCCTGTTTGAAAATGATTAGCATTAGTTAATTTAGGATAGGAATCGTCTCAAAATAGGATAGGGATCATGGGGTTGGCTTTACGCTTAGCTTATATTAATTTTGAAAAAAAAAGAACTGTACAAAAAAGAATTTTTTGCTAAAGTAAATCGTTTCCAAATAAATGGGTGGACTGTACAAGTTGATACACTCTGTATATATATATAAAATCTTACTTTGATAATATTTATAAATGTCTAATAGTTTACTTTCAAAACGAAAAAAGTTAAAGTGTTTTTTCTTGTAATTTATGAATATGTCAAATGCAATCAAAGCCTTAAATAGTACTAATTATTATGAACTACAACTCCCTTGCCTTTACAATTTGATTATAATCTGTATTATGGTGGTCACCCCTGTATAACACATGCTTTTAATAATTAAAATAGGTGAATTTAAAAAAAGAAATGTATATTAAATCACGTTTTTTTCCAGGCCGTACCTACTCCTGAACAAATGCGTATTGCTCAGATAATAGACATGAGATCTGAGGATCCTTCTCTTAAAGACAAACTTAAACAGGTACAGATTTAATTTTCCTCTTTTTGTAAGTTTCTTTTTTCTTTTTGAATTTGATAAGCAAATCAAATTTTTAACCAAACCAGGTTATGGATGCAACTCAGACTACAGTCGATGAAGCTTATACAGCTCTTCATGATAGTGACAATGACATTAACAAAGCTGTTAATCTTCTTCTGGAGGGTGGCATGAAGGTATGTGAATAAAAATCTACGTATAATGAATTTTGTATATGTATCAAACATCAATGAACTAATGTGAACTTTATATCGTAATTGTTTATTGTCAAAAATAATACATTGCCATAAAACACATTAAAAAATATCTGTAGGCTAAAATTGTGAAAACTTTCTTAAATTTTTCATTGTAAATTTATCTCATAAAAAATTCAGTTTTAATTATTGTGTTTGTTCATGCTTTCATTACAGTTTTGCTCAATTTTCTATATAAAAAAAGAAATTGTGGGTTTTTGAAAAACTTAGTTAATTATATAATCTTAGAATTAATTATAAATCTCATATTAAAGGGAAAAAGGATAACAGCTATCTGTTTGTTAATCTGATTTTGTGCAATTTTTTCTCAATTGTGTAGGATGAGTGGTCAACTTCATCTAAAAAGAAAAAGGTGCGAACAGTAAGCGAGAAGTCTAAAGATCCTAATCAACAGTCTCCAACTACAACTGAAAACTCCAACCAAAACCAGAACGATGAAGAGGACTTGGGCAATGGTATTACACAGTCGACATTTTCGAAATCAGAAAATCGAGGCCGTGGTGGTGGAAGGCCATACAACAAAAGTGATAAAATTTATTTCTTATAACTTATTTATAATGAAAAGACTTGATTTTTTAATGTTTATTTTTGTCGGTAGGTCGCGGTGGTCGTGGTGGCCAAACCAACATGAACAATGCCAATAGTCTAAATGAAAAAGTTGATAAAACCAATGTCCAACGTGGTGGTAGAAATCAAACAAATGGGCCTAGTAATAAAGGAAATCGCAGTTTCAGAGGTGGAAGGCAAGGTCCTCGCGGCCGAGGGAGAGGTGGTGGAGCTATGTTCAGGCGTCCAATAGAAAATTGGAATGAAAGTAACCTCCAAAATAACATCAATAACGCACCTCCAGGTATGTGTATAATTCAGTTCTTTCTACTGTTTAAAATCTGTTATTGATTCATTAAAATGACAGCTTTTGAAGACTGGGATAGTGAAGAATACACGGGCTCATTGGCAAATAGTCAGGTGTTCACAGCTTCTGCTCCGCCTAAACCGAAATCAGGGGACATTGATCTTTCTTCTTTGATTCAGAGAGATCAAATCCCATCAGATAGAACCACTCCACCAGCTGAGGTAATTAGAGCAAATCGTTTAAAGCATTGAACTTGGTATTAAATGTTTCTTGTATTCTTTCAGCCTATCACACATTCATTTACATCATCACAAATTTTGTCACACTTTGCTATTCAACAGCAGTTGTCATTAGACAACCAAAATGTGAATAAGGGTATGAATCGTGAACCAGATATGCTAAACGAAGTCAACTCAGGTAGCTAAAATCGAGCATCATTTTATAATGTTAACGATGACAATAACTACAAACATTTAATATTATTTCAGTGAATGCGATTAGTTCCAGCTCTCTACCATTAACATCAGTTGGTCGTTCATCAGGGATAGGTAATTCATTTTATTTCCCCCCCCCCATTAGTAGTTAGCATGCTGTACTTTTACTTCCTTTTGAAAGCTTGCGATTATTATTTTTATTAATATCATTTTTATAATGATTTGTAATGTGTTGACTGTACGAGCAAATAGTAGCAGTACAAACAGTAGAACAGAAATCATAGTGAAGTTAATAATTAAGGTTGTTAAAACCTACCCAATTAAAACCCAAGTCCATTCTATTACCTACAAATACAAAATTTGAACTTCAATCATATATATGTCATAATTAACTTTTTTAGTTTTAATTAAGTAACTTTGTTAAGAAACACCTATTAGTAGATAGTATATAATTGTTGTCAAAATACCTAATGGCTTGAGCTCTCTTATATAAATCATTTATAACCTAATCGTTGTATATTAGGATTACAGAAGCTATGGCTTAAAAAGAAATTAAACGTTTTAAAAAAATAGACTATTGTAAGTAGTAGATTATACCGCTTAATCAAACTGATTTAAATGGGCTGGGTGGTTTGATTTTATGCAAATGTTCCACATTGTAATAATAAAAATAAATAAAAGTAAGAGCAAGTGCCTTTCTAGCATTCCTTAACATGACAGTTAAGACAATAGTATACAAATAGTCAATAGAATTTTATTTAATTTTAATGTATATGAATATTTTTTTTAATATTTGAAAGGTAATTAATTTTATATGGATAAGTTTTTACATTGGATACACATTTTTTTACTTCACCATGGCCATGTTACTGGAGAGTGTGTAAAGGGGTTGTTTGTTATGTTGGGTTGAGTTAGGTAAAGTAACATAGGGTTAGTTACAGGATAACTTAGTTTAGGTGTACGTAGGGTTAGGTTAGTTACATATAAGAGGAGATCCATGCCCACTCAAAAAAAAAAAAAAAAAAATGGAAAAAGTTAAACTTTGGAAACGAATGCTATGCATGGAAAATTGTGCGATTCCAAATTGATATTTTATTTTTTAATCCATACGTAATGTATACATGCATAAACACTGTAAAATAAGATGTGTTTTTCTTTTTTCAGTGCCTAGTTCTATTCCACTTGCTCTTGGTCGATCTTTATCAGGTTAGTCCAAATTCTAAAAACTGATTCATTAAAAGAAAATGTGTACTCTTGGCGATCTTACGAGAAATTTTTAGGACAAATACCTTATCAAAAAATATATAACTACAATGCTCATGCCATTAGTTGTTTTGTACGAACATTGTTAAAACTTTTGTACAAAAAAATGATACAGTATAAACAAGGACATTTTTATTGTTAAAAAAGTTTCCCAATCAGCACAGTAACATTACAATAGATTACAGAACAGGTCGTCATACAAATTTTATAATATACAAAACAAAAATTTGCAATATTACATAACCAATCTTCAAAAGCATGAAATAAACAAAGGTTTGTTACATTTTAAAATGTTCATTTCTAGTAATTATTTATTTTTACAGTGGAACCACCGTTCATAGCCGATTTTCAATATAACTGTTAAGGGTTTTATCTCGTGTACAAAATTTGAAGAATGTATGTAATCAGCAGTACAACTGGCCACGCAAATTAACGTCAAGACCGTTTTTCAAAATTTAAAAAGTTAAAACAAGGAAAGTTAAATAAAATTTCAGGTATATTCGTAATAAAAACAGAATAAATAATAAATTTGTTTTATTTCCACCACTTAAGATAAATTAAAATAAATTATTTGTTTCTCTGCCTATTATCAACTCATTAATATGCTAGAAAGATAATGGAAGCATACAACAAATGAACTGAAAAAGCACTACACCTTAATTATTTTTTCATTAAAAACAAATTGCATTACATTTTGTGAAATTTGTGTTTTTGCTGTTCCTACTGTCCATGCGGCCTGTTCAGTCATTTTTTCTGCTTTAACTTAATCTATGTAGGCTATTGTACACGTTTTTCACCCCTTTGCTTTATACCAATTAAATCTGTTCATTCTGCTGTTATTAGCCATCTTCTATGAGTTGTCTATTATCATGATACACCATTCTTTTATTTTTTTGATGTTTGCTGTTTATTGTTCTCTGTGGTAAGTATGTTTACTTTAAGAGTATTAATGCCAATAGCCAAAGATTACATCTGGCTGTCATGTGGTTTTCTGCATGTGTAAATGGACTACGTTGAATGTAAAATATGTTTATGGTATGAAATAGTACTTTTTTTGAATATTTAAAAAAAAACTTGTTTTTACTGTCTTAGATGTGGAATATCTTTATAATTTGAATTTTAAATAATCCCACATTGGTTTATGGAATTTTGCTTGAAATTATTTTATTTGCTCATATGTATTTTTGGGGGGGATTTTTGAAATATAGCACCATTGGACAAAAATTAAACAATTTCATAACTACAATATTTATGATTTCAATATCTTCTAATGCCACCATGGTAGCACTTAAAGAATTGGTTTATGTCGCAGAAAAGATGATTACCAAAAACTATTTATAATTTTTACGTAAAGTGTGGTTGGCGTATTGAGCTGAAGGTTGTGGGTTCGAGTCCTGCTCGTGGTATTAATTTTTCATCTCAACCACACTTTACATAAAAATTATAAATCAATTTAAATAATCACTTTGGTTAACTAGAACTAAGAACAGATTAATATAAAGAACAATTTTCATTTTAGTTTTTAAAAACACATTCCGAAAATTGTATTATACAAGATCAGACTTGACTTACATCAGTTTTAAAATAATATCAATAAATTGTTTTTTATCTAATATATTTTGGATTATTTCAGTTTCCAGCAACATTTCTCCTCTTGCAAGTACGAGTCGAGCAAGTTCTTACATCGGGACAACAACAAATGCATTGCCTCTTTCTGCCGTTAATAGAACCAATTTAACTGGTAATATTTTTATTTATTTTTTATTTATAGTAATATAATTTTTATTTGTATTTTCCTTTTGTTTCTTAAAGTATCGCTAAGAAATTGTTTACAGAAGAATATTTAATCAAAAGGTTTCGAATAGAACATTTCGCAGTATTTGTGGACTGTATGACGTAGTGAATGTAACACTACACCAATTACTGCATTTTCCATTTTATAATATGGTGAGACCCTGGTGGTCGAGTCGTTAAGGCATCTCATTTGCCCCACTAGTGGTCTTGGTTCGAATCCCGTGGTTATTAATTGATTGTTATATGAAAAAAATATTATAAAGTGGTTTAACTCCCAAGGGTAAATGGACGTTAAACCATATGTCAGGAATTATTTAATTTTTACTTTTACTTTTTGTACTCATTACTCCTATGGTTACTGTTTTAATAATTGGATTATTTTAATAGTACATTGGCTAAACACGTTTTTGTATATGTTGATTTAGGTACAATGCCTCAATTAACAAAACCTGATGTTTTTAATGTGGGTCGGGGTAAAGGAGGAGCTTCTCTTATGAATTACCGTCCTGACGATAATAGGCTTCCTAGAATGAGCACAAAAGTGAAACCAAGGATTCCTCCCCCTTCAAAGGTAATAAATATAAAAATTTAACTCACTACTAGTCTTTTAATTAAAAAAAAAAAATAAAATATATATATATATATATATTAAAACAAAATTGTTTAGATACCACTGACTGCGGTTGAAATGCCACCTGATGGGGACAGCTCAATTGGAAGGCTGGACGTGCAATTTGGTGCACTAGACTTTGGAGAATCATCATCCGATACTCTTCCAAACAGCCCTCCATCGCCGCAGAGATCCTCGCCGAGTCCACCACCTACCGACGCTTTTGCTACACAAAATGTAATTCTACAGCTCTTTGCTTAATTAACTTTTTTCCCCCCTTCTTTTCTTTAAGGTGGTGTGTTTGCCAGTAGTAGCTTTGCATGTCATATTCAGCGATGTGCATGTCTAACAGAGCACAGTTTGTGTTTGGTCCATTCTCATTTGATTTGTACTTTTCATCATTTTTATTATGGGAGTGTACAATCATAGCTTTGCTATTTTGTAACAGTTGAGCAATATAACACACGCATATTTCATGATATATAATACTTTAATATTTTTGTTTTGTGCTTATCTAACAAAAGTTTTAACAGTACCTGTTAATATTTGTTTTATTTAAAACTTTTTAGTTACGAGAAACGTGGTTAAGCATTTTAAAAAGTGCTTTATATATTCAAAACTATTTATTTTTAAGTTTATTGTGTAATGCATATTATATTAATATTAAATGCAATATATCTATTCATCTATATATTTATTTGCATTTATGCTTTATGTATAAAATGTGCTACTTATTTTAGAATGCCTAAATTTAACTATACAATTTAACTAATTTATATTAGCAAAATTCAATAAGATTACTATAACATGTAATTTTATTGTAGTATAAAGCATGATTCAAATTGTAGTGACTTGGTGCAATGGGTTCTAAATTAAATTTAAGGAAGTTTTTAATTTTTTGTTTTTATGAATAATTATTTTTAACTAATTTTTATTTTAATATTTACTGCATGTAGAAAGGAAACGCATGGCATTGATAACACAAAAATCATTTAAATGCTATTCATTTTTATTAATTATTTTTCTTATTCTTTATGATACCAGAACACCCAAGGAAATGACTCTTTAATAAGCAATGATTCACGAAGTTTCTCCCCAGTACCCGGTACAGTGTCCAACTCTCTTACACCCCAGCTGTCAGATGTTGGGTCTTCTAAAATTCCAGAAACTACGACTTCCAGTCTGTACCAAGATTCGGTGTATCAGTCTTCACTATATACCAAGTCGCCCCAACAAAGTCAGGGGATTTATAACTCGACGTACACAACTGGCCAGGTATGAAATATTTAATGGGTGGCATGCTTGGTTCATATGGCTTTCCATATTTATCTTCATTCGCTCAACGCAAGTGTGACCTTGTAGCATGATGTAGAGCTTTATCAAATCATATTTGGCTTTCGTAATGAAACTTTTAACCATAGGTATTTTAATTTTATGTTAAATGGAGGAAGTTTTGTCAAATAGTGCACAGCTTTGGTTTGGTAGTTTTTATTATGGAGATTTCACCTTCTTTTTTTTTCCAGCTTGGGTTTCTTTGGGACATAATATTTTTAAGTAACCAGTACAATACTGACAAAATATTGCCCGTAAATTTTTACTTGCATGACAATCTGACAAATAGGTGGCTCCAAAAGAAACTCATTGATTAATATTAAATATTAACTTTTATGCCTCCCTTGATTAACAAAATTAGAAATTTATGTCAATTATTCATTTTGAAAACATCAAGAATATAAAATTATAAACTAATAGTGTTATTAAGTACTTATAACCTTAAAATTAACTTAAAACTTGAAAACAGTTTTGCAGTTAAACAAGCTTTTTATTGCACACGATTGCATTTTGAACCTACAAAAATAATAAAAATTTATTTTTAAAAAAAATTAAAATAGAACCATTATTATTTTGATAACAGATAATATTCATTGTGGTGACACAATAATGATATTAATAGAAGCACTAACTGAACAAATATTTATTGAGTCCTTAGAATGTTGATTGATGATTTTGCTCATCTTTCATCAATATCCTCTACAAACCATTATTCCTTGTTAACAGAAAAAAATTATTTTGTAAATTAAACTATTTCTCTTTTTTTTAGAAAGCATAAATATTAATCTCACTTTAATAGTTACATTTTTTTAAATAAGTTCATCCCTTAAAAATTAATAACAATCCAAATTATTATTTTCCATTTAGTATTTTTTTTAAATCCTCGAACATTGCCGCATGTAAATTAACTAAGTTCAAACAGTCTTCCCTGTTAAAAATATAATAGCGTAATCCCTTTTTATTTTGTAACGTGTGAATTTTCAGGTGTTTACATCAAGTAGTGCTATTTATAGCAGTACATCTACTTCTCACAGCTCTTATTCAAGTACTGTTGGCAACTATGGTACAAACTCATACCCGTATCAGTACCCTAACTACCAAACGTCACACCAAGTGACAACTCAACCATCAACGAATAATCACACTACGTACCAGGTAAAATGAAAATATCTGAATTGTATGATCACCCTTGAAAAAAAAAAAAAAAAAAAAAATTGGGGTGTGTACTTTGAGTAGATATTTTTTGTGGTCTGCTATAGAAGGAACTCTCGAAATCTTAACACTGAGATTAATAAGCTGGCTGACGTCAGTGGGATTACAGATTTTCATTGAAAGGACATGTAAATTACCCGTCTATCCGTATCAGTTTGTTGAATGATTTTTACAAAACTTGAAAATAAATCATAAAGGCCCTACATTTTTACCATATGAAAAAAATAATTCAGTTAAGCTGGTGTATATATAATTTTTGTAAAGAAAAATTATGTTTTCTATTTTCTAGTTCTTTAAGTTGCCACAAAACAGAATAATTTGAAGATATTTGTGTCAAATACAAATATCAAAGTTCGATTAAAAATTATTAATTTTTTCTTATAAAGATAATCCTACAATAAAAGCCGAAAATAATTTTAAGAGTGGACAATATGACTTAATATATGAATTTTGAGAGGTTCAAAAACCTAATACTGTAAAATATTATAAATAACAAATGCTTTTGGCCATGAATTTTTATAATACACATTAAAACATTAATATTTAGATTAAATACTTATCCTGAGCATATTGGTGTATTGGTTTTTTTTTTTTTTTTTTTTTTAATTAATAAGTTCTATATTACGATTGGTTAACTCAAGCTAAGTAAGAATAATTATACAATAATGCAAACTAAATTTAATAAATTAAATAAATATATAAAATTGAGGGGAAACCGAATTTATTTTATTTTGTAGAGTACCAATAACCTCTATGGCATAGGAAGTCACAGTGTGTACGGAAGCTCTGTAACGTCCAGTTACACCATGCCTTATCAAACTACCTACAACAGCTCCAACCAACACAAGGCCATGCCTTCTGCACCGAGCAGTAAAGAGGTTGGGACATTTTTAAATTCAATTTTCTTGGCTAGTTTTTATTAGTCCGAGCCTAGAAAGTTGTGATTAAATTTCACATGAACTTTGGTTTCAGTATGATTCACCGACCCCAAATGTAAACCTCAGTTCAATCACCCACACAGCAGCAATTAGTGGGACCTCGACCTTACTTTCTTCGACACAGACCACACCTACCTCAAAGACGACTGGTTCAACTACTAGTAAGTGTGTTCAAACAAAAAATACGTACAAATTTAAAACGACTTCTATAAAACATCGTGTATTTTATAGTGAGTAAGGGTACAATGGTCACAAACATGCCTCCAGGTGTCCAGCCGTTAGTAGGCACTCACCAGTATATTGTTGGTCAAGGCACAATGCCATACTTCCAGCAACAGCCAGCACTTTTCTATGAGGATTTACAATTAATGCCTCAACAAAGGTTGCAAAATATTGTAAGTCAACTTTGCGTAGTATATAATATAATTGATATTATTCTCATTAAATTTCTACAACTAGCCCTGAATTTTTGAGTGGCTTAGTGCTCAAAATGTCAACAGATCCAAAATAAGAAAAATTTGTGTATGAGATATTTTATTTAACTTTTTTTTTTTGTGTGTGTGTGTGTGTGTATAATTTTATAACAGCCAAGAGCTGCTATATAATTGTCCTATTCTTAAATATATGAGAAATCTTATGCTCCTCCACTATGCATAAATTGATTGATGTTAAGTTTTATGTTCCTTTGTTTTAGATGTGCCATTGTATTATTGGCAAATCAAAAGACAAATTTAATGAATGCTAGTTTCATTTTTATTAAATGCCTTATACAACATGCTCAGACATCCAAATGTGTAGTTATAATAATTTATATTATTAATTTATAATTAAAGTGTTATTTTTTAATTTAATTAATTTTATACATTGAACTGATGGCGTCCTCTTTTCATGCACTTAACCGTGTGCATACTCTTCAAACATATGCAGGAATGATATTGAATCAGTTCCTTCGTGAGATGGGAAATGAAAGGTGCAAGCACATAATTTTATAGCTATTTTTACTCTTGAAAGAGAGTCTTAAATGTATTTTGTAAAAGTTGAAGCGCTACTGGCAGACACACACTTTATGTAACCATATATTTATTTTTTATAATGCGTTGCTTTTATTATATTGTATTTTTTCTTTGTCACTATTGAATTGAACAATTTTTCCAAACAGTCCTAGGAGACGTTCCTTAGCATTGAAAAAATTTTGAACTAATCAAGTCTTGTGTTTAGCCTGGTTATTTTGAAGTTGGCTATCAGCCTTCCACAACCAGGGAGTACAACTTGTCGGATGGACGCTTTGCTAGGACGGATACAACATCTCCTGTTCCGAGCATTACTCAGCAGGTATTTCTAAAAAGCCTATTTACATTTAGTATACAAAGAACATTATAACTATTCTGGCCCTACAATCATTTGAATTTGACATTAATTTTTAATGTGTGGTAATTAGTGACCGTTAGTCAATGATTATTCTGAAATCCTGAGATGCGGTCTGGTGTGATGTAGGTTTCAGAAAATCATTTTCTTTATCGTGCCAACGTTTCAATCTTAATTGAGACCATCTTCAGGGCCTGGGATTTACAAACATTGTTTAAATTTACCAAATACATGTAGGATGTGGAAAAAAGTGAATTTATACAATGCAAAATATATTTTTTATATTCAATCAAAGTATTTCTACTCAGTAGAAAAGAGTAGAGTAGAAATACTTTGGTTGAATATAAAAAATATTTTTTGCATTGTATAAATACATTTTTTCACATTGTACATCTATTTGTATAATTTAAACAATGTTTATAAATCCCAGGCCCTGAAGATGATCTCAATAAAGATTGAAACGTTGGCACGATAAAGAAAATTTTTTTTGAAACCTACATCACACCAGACCGCATCTCACGATTTCCAAATAATCATTAATTTTTAATGGTATTTAAAAAAAGAAAATCTGAGGTGGTGTTTTTAATTTTTGTGTTTCAGGTTATTGGCCCATCTTAAGCAGACCTAACAGTTTTATGTTAGGGCTGCTGAAGATTGGCCCGTAGCCCGAAACTACAAAAAAATGTATACAGTGAATTGTGGCTAAACAAAAATAAATAATAATTTTTACAGTTTTTAAGATTTATTATTTGTCGAAGGTCCACTTAAAAACAGTATTAAAATAATTTGTGTCATACAGGAGGGCTTTAAAGGCCATTTGTTAAAGAAATCCAGAAATTTTCTTTTTCCAAATTATTCTCAAATAAAATTTCTAAGGTATTTCATTTGTGTCTAATGAATTGTAACTAATTGTTGAAATAAAAATTTTCTCTGCTTACGAAAAAACATTGAATCGTGGGTATGTAACTCTAACCCTAACCCACGTATTTCTCATTGACACGAAAATGTCTACACAAAAATATTTGTATATATAGCCCAAAAACATACCCATGTTAAAATGTAACATTTTTTTTGTGTGTGTGTTTTATGTATGGCAATTGTTATTGTTTCAGAGCGGTTCCCAGGCTCACCAACAACAATTGATGAATCCTACTGCTATACCACCTGCGTTTGCATACTTTTATGGGGGTTCTGCTGTGGTGCCTGGAAATTTCTCATTCAGTGCTCCAACAATATATCCGGTATGTTTTTATATAGAGTTAGTTGATGCTGGGTGTTGGTCTGCGAGTCTGTGAACTCATTGAACCGGCATTGGGTTCGTCTTCACTCACGGGTTTGTTAAACTTCTCTTGAATAAAGAAACTCGATGCCGGTACAGCATGTTTCTATATAATACCTATTAGTTTAGGGCATGATGTTTAAAACTAAATTTTCTGCCCGTACTTCGCTGAATTGTTTTAAAATAATCTTATTGGGTGTGTGCGCATTCACACATAAACATTGAATTGGACAAGCCCTAGCTTCAATACTTATTAATATTATTTATTAGTTTTAAATCACTCAACATTGTTCTTTATGCATAGAGAAAATTCATTTTCATTGATTTGACAACAAAAATGTATTGTTTTAAAATGTAATGTTTTAAGATTAATTTTCATTTAAGCTGTATTAATCTTTAATAGTAATTCATGTATTTAACATTTTTTTAGTAATGGAAGAACTGAGTTTTTATTTGAAGATTGAGAAGAAAATAAGGAATTACAGATAAAATTAAAAAGTGGCTACGTTGTCAATCCTTGAAGATTATTAAGAATGTTTAAAAAAAAAAATTGCTGAACACGGTTTGTTTTATGGCACAGTTAGTTGATGTACTTAAAACAAATAAATTTGCTGATCACAATTTGTTTTATTTACACTAATAAGTTTATTTACAGAAAATAATGCATGTGTGTGAAAAGCGACATCCCATTGTTACTTTTATTTGTTTCAAAAACTTAGTTTTTTATGTTACAATTTTCAAGAGAAACAAGGTACAATTTATGTTAGAATTTCAATTAATTATACTTTTTATCTAAGTTCTTGGTTGAGATAAAAAGTATAACTGATACGGTAAATTATGACTGAATATATGGATTTATGTTAAAATAATTAATACCGGTATAATTAAAAAAAAATCCTTATTGATCAGGAAATCTTAATGTTTTAATGTAATTGTTGATATTTCAGTCGAATGGTAAGTAAATTTGTAATCATCATGTTATTAATGCAATTTTAATCTAGCAAAATTATAATACCAACCACATTGTTAGTAGTTGACCCTTGTGTCCAGGTGTCTTGTTGATTATATCTCCAGACACTTTATGCTCCAACTAATTTTTTCCCTTTTTTCATAAAAACCGAGATTTTTATATATTTATTCCTTCTGAAATTTTTAATAACTACATATAAATAAACAAAAAACACAAGCTGATATTTGTGACTTGTCCACAACAATCGCAATAGTATACTGGAAGGGTACTTGGACAGAAGATGCTCCAGTACTCCCCAGCATTCACCATAAGCAAGTTTTGCCCAATGGCACACTGAGTAGCCGAGTTAATGTAAATATGGGGGACCGCGGTAGCCGAGTGGTTAGCATGAGAGACACTCACGCCGCGGTCGTGGGTTCGATTCCCACCGTCGCCTCTGGCCCTTTTTTCACAATAACCCCCCCAAATTTGAACACACATATATGAATTGTCACATCGCTAATATGCATAGTTCATAACACAAAAAAAAAAAAAAAAAAAAAAACTGTAAATATGTATATCTAACGTAACAATTCTCTCTCTCTCATCTATCTTTCTTTCTATGTTTGTATTTACCACTTTTTCACTATTCCTGTCTGATCCTCTCTTTCTTATTTTCTCCATCATTCGCTTTCTTAGCCTCTTTGTCTATCTTTCTGTCTTTCTCCGCTCGTGTTTACCTTTTTTCACTATTTTCTATCTCTCCAGTTCTAATATTTTAAAAATTGATAAGCACACTATCCACTCTCTTTCTCTTTTTGTCTTTCTCTGATATGTTTACCTCTTTCACTATTCTCTCTCTCTCTTTCTCTCTCTCTTTCTCTCTCTCTCTTTCTCTCTCTCTCTTTCTCTCTCTCTCTCTTTCTCTCTCCCGCTCTCTCTCTCACTCTCTCTCTCTCTCTCCCTCTCTCTCTCCCTCTCTCTCTCCCTCCCTCCCTCCCTCTCTACCTTTCTAATGTTTTAAATATTGATAAGGACACTATGCTCTCTCCCTCCCTCTCCTTCTCTTCTTCCCTCCACTTCTCTCTCGCTCACTCCTTCCCCTTCTCTCTCCCTTCCTCCCTCCTTCCCACCATTTCTCCCTCCCTCACTCCTTCCCTCCACTTCTCCTCCCTCACTCCTTCCCTCCACTTCTCCTCCCTCACTCCTTCCCTCCACTTCTCCTCCCTCACTCCCTCCTTCCCTCCACTTCTCCCTCACTCACTCCTTGTCCTTCTCTCCCTTCCTCCCTCCTTCCCTCCACTTCTCCTCCCTCACTCCTTCCCCTTCTCTCTCCCTTCCTCCTTCCTTCCCTCCACTTCTCCTCCCTCACTCCTTCCCCTTCTCTTTCCCTTCCTCCCTCCCTTCTCTTTCTCTCTCTCTCACTCATCCACATCCACATTGTCATCTATCTATGTACTCTTGTTTTATTCTTCCAGTGACTCATCAGTCGTGTCATCATTAGGCCGAGAGGGTCATAAAATCATAGACTTTAATTTTTCAATAGTGGATCCGGTAATTTCCATTTCTTTGACAATAGAACTAAAGCATTTTCCCTCTAATCTTTATTTCTTTTATAAGTATATTGTATAAATCGTTGATTCCAAAAGAAGTAATGCTTATAAAATAGTTATTAAATATTATATTCTATTAGTTTTTGCAAAAATTTTCATTACTGTTATCATAAATGTGAATAACCTTTATGCCAAAGACGCTACATAGCATTGTTTGATAATCCAAGGCAAATAATATTTAATTTTATTTTTTTATAATTTTATATATTAATTCTATTAATTTAGCACCTAATGGATGAATTTTTACAAATTAATGTAGATAAACAACGGACAATGAAGATTTCCTTGAATTGGTAGGTACACAATGGAAGGGATTTTAGAACCAGGCATGACCATTTTCACGAACAGGATTATGATGGTTTGTTAATAGATTCGGAATATCAACAAAACTTTTGTCTGACATACTCAAGAGAAAAAAATAAGTACAAACTCCAAAATATTAAAGACTAAAAAGTCCACAAAAATGGTACAACAACTAATGTAAATAATGAATAAACTCGATCCTAGCTATAACTGTATAAATAGACTACAATCAGTTCTACCAACTTAAGGTTGAAATAGGATCAATTGAATACTGGTCCCTTACAGATGGTGCAATGCTCCTTGCTCTGAACTTGGCTCAAATTCTGAATGACGACGTACCAGTGAACTCGGTGCAACGTGCTCTGTGAAAGTTTTTGATAATTACTGGTTTTTTTATATAACTCATACATTTCTTAAAAACTGATCTCTTTTCACAATATAATAATTTATAATTATTAATTTTTGTTTTTTAAGGTTGCAGCTACTGGATCAACTACAGGGCACGGTAGTACAAACTCTGGAACTTATGGTAAAGGGCCTACCACCTATGCGGGAAGTTACACTGGCATTTATGAAAATAGTCAACAGAATGTAGAAGGATACAAATCGAATACGTCTCAAGTACCCAAAGTTCAGCCGACTCAGTCTGCTAATCCATCAACATCCTCGGACATTTCGAATATCTATTCAAAATCCCATTCAGCATTGTCTAAAGTAAGTATTTGTAAACATGACTGACAATAATATAAGTAAAATGGAGTCAAACTGTGTGTTAACGTGTATCCTTTTTTTTACAGTCGTACGATAAGCCTGGGTTCCATTGTGCAACACCTCCTCCTTTTAACTTAGGTTCTCAGAATTCAGGATTAGGTCCGGGGGGCTATCCTCAACATATATTTATTCCGACAATGACACCACATCACAACACACCTTTAATGCATCAACCCTTGCATCAGGTAATTTATTTTATATTAAATATTTAATAAGCTAACATCGTTCAAGTAATTCAGTCGTTACCAGTCTTCCCTGTCTGCTTATTCTCACTGGATTGGTCATAGTGAAAAGAGTTAAAAAGAAACAGAGAAAGTAAGACAAAAGAGAAAGAGAGGGGATAGTGTGCTTATCAATTTGTAAAACTGCCTTAATATTTAATAGTGTCTGTCAAACATAGCAAGGATAGGCAGACAAGAATGATCGGTAATGACCAAATTACAGGTTTATTACTATTACTATTACCCCGTAGACCACAACTACACAGAGAAATCTCACAATTGTTCAAGTATATTAGTTAAACCAGTGGTTCCAAAACTTTTTTTATCAGAATTTTTCCCGTGCCCCCCTTTAAAACAATGGTCTGGCATGACTAATATTATGATAATAGCAGTAATTCATTTCCAATTCAGAAATGCATTGATATACCTAAACCTCTTTATTTTGTCTGCGATTTTATTTAATAAATAATTAAAACTCCTGACTTTCTGGGGAAATTGAAAAACTTGCCTTTTGAAAAACGATTACGCACCAAATAACAAAAATTAAAAAAGCGAAAACTTTTTTTGGGCAATAATATAAAGTACCTAATTGCAGCCGTCTATCAAAACATCGATATTGAGATTGCAAGGCCACCAGGGTATTAGTTTTTAGGTTTTTTATAAATATAAAACAATATTTTTTTATAGAAAATTTTTACGGCGCCGTGGGGAACAAAACATGACGTACAATTTGGGAATCACTGAGTTAAACTATTTACTGCTATGATAGATTTATTTATGTAAGCTGAACATTCCACACACGTTTGCACATACTATATAGTTTTTATACCATTCAATTAATTAAGGTTTTAAGTTGAGATAAAAATTGTCGCCGAGAATCCAATCCGATTACACGACATTTGAAAAATGGCAAAAAGGAGGGAAATTCAAAAGGTGGGGTTGAGATGGGAAGTTAATGCCTGAGGGGATCAAGGTCACCATAGCTCAAAGCGGTGTATCAAGCCGAAGGTCATGGGTTCAAATCCCGCTCGTGACCCTGACTTTTTTAACTCAACTTAAAACCTTAATTAATTGAATGTTATTAATTGGTCAAGCGGACCACGAAAAATAGTGAATTTAATAGTTTTTATATTTTTATTTATTTATTTTTCTTTTTTTACCGAGACATAAATTTTAATTTTTTTTTAATCTAGTTTCTCATGAGCCAAAAAGTTTGATCTAACTCTCCAGGATAGCAGGATACAAATAAATTTACTTTCAATTAAAATGATAAATAAATTGGTCCAAATAACAAGAACAGTTGTTCCAAATTTAACTTTTAAAAAAGGTAAAAAAACATGGGGAGCAAGTTACTCACCCTTTATGGACTGGATGAGCTTATTACTCCACTTCAAGTTTTGGTAGTCCGGGGTCAGACCCTTGGTCTTAGTTTAGACTCTAGGGGATGTCAACTGCTAGGTCATCTCAGCCCCCAACACATCAGTCGATGGGGAACATAATATTCCACCATTGGCCCTCTTTCATTACACATCCACTCTCATAAATTTATTCACTTTTAATATACACAAAACGAGATATCTCAGTATTATATACAAAAAACAACCCTTTGGTGGAGACCATGTTCAACCAATTTCACGTTGTGCGTGCTGGTGTAGACGGTTCAAAAGTAGTGATTTTGACATGAAGTGTAAGAACCGTGAATGAAGGCCAGAACGTTTGAAGATGCAGAATTAGAGGCATTATTGAATGAAGACTTGGTCAACTGCAAGAAGAATCTTCGAGAGTGACTCAAGCAATTTCATTACACCTCAGGGCCATGGCAATGGTCCAAAGCAAGGAAAAATGGGGGTTAATATAGAATTAAAGCCAAGAGAAGTCAAAAGATTTTTCACTATCTAAAATGTAAGGGTTTTTGTTGCATCGAATCTTAACTGGTGATGAAAGGGGATTCATTATGACAGTCCAAAGCATAACAAATCGTAGGGTAACCCTGGTCATATTGCTTTTTGTTGGCTCTAAAGGTCCATCGTTCTTTCAACATGGAATCCGTGTGCTGCCAGATAGATGGGAAAAGGTATTGGTTAGCGATTGGCAGTACTTTGAGTAATCAATTTGTTACCATTTTTGCTAAAGCCACAATTTTCATATACAAAAAAATCTGCACATAATAGTTTCAGAAATAAATGCATAAAATAAGATACCAGTAATTTTAAGAGAATTTTAACTGAAATCCGAATTAAATTTTAGGCTCAGTTTCCCCCTTCATATGTTTTTAGTTGCTTTGTTTATTATTTATTTTTATTTTGTTAAGTAACCAAAAATGCTTCAAATTAGCAATATTCTTCAAATTGCTGAAATATTCAAAGTAGGCTGAATTAAAAGCATTATACCACAGCATGAAGCTATGGTTCAGATAAAATCTGATCACCAGGGTCGTAAGTGTAATAAATAAATAAAGAGTATGAAATTGCATACTAACAGAAATGATAAATGATGGAGTGAGTGTGGTGTTCAATCCTTTTAAAGATAGTTTAAAAAATTTAAAGATAGTTCCTACTCACAATAAGTACATACTTACTGTGAGTAGGAACTATCATTTTTAAAAAGGATTGAAATTGCATACTATGTGACGGGTTGGATCCATGTCGTATCAATCCCAAAAATGGGACAAATTTAAAAATATCCTAGGGAAACCAAAATTAATAAAAACAAAGGTAAATACAGAAAGGGGCATCGGTGGCCGCAACAGTTTAGGCGTTGACACAGCGCTCATCATTGTAAGGTTATGACACTATTTGATCCAGCGGGCCCTGCATTCGAGCCCGACATACTTTTTTTTTTTTTCCCCCCCAAAAACACCCGCACCCCGAGGGTTTATATAACCTAAAATAAAAATAAAATAATAATAATAATAATAATAGATAACAGATAAATACAGTAACACAAATTTATTTGTAAAAATTATTAATTATGTACACCCTAAACCCAACACCTTTAAATTTATAAACTCTTAAAATTACCCTTCACCAAAATTATTTAGAAACCCAATTAAATAAAAAAAGACACTATTTGACCTTCGTGGTATAGTTTTGAGCTCTTCTCTACTAGTCAATATCTCAGGAATAATGAAACCTTGAAAAATGGCAAAAGGAGGGAAAACTCATAAGGTGGGGTTGAGATGGGGAGTTGATGTCCGAGTGGATCGAGGTCACGATAGCTCAGGTGGTAGAGCAGCGGCGTATCTAGCCGAATGTCGTGGGTTCGAATCCCTCTCGTGCCATTAACTTTTTTTCATCTCAACTAAAAACCTTAATTAATTGTCAAATAATGAAACCCCTTGGTGCTTTCCGTCATTCCTGCAAATAAAGGGTTTGGCCTGAAGAGAAGTTGCTCCCACCTCCGAACGAATCACGGCAGTTTGTTGTCAACCCCTAGTCTACTATCTAAACCCCATGGGGTGACATAAAACCGTGCTCCAATTATGACATATTGGTGCAAAATGGTAATTTTTAAACAAATATTGACTAACGTTGTTCACTGTTTTTCAGGAAGGAGGGAACAGTGTAAGTGGAAGATCCCAAGTTAATAGCCAACAAAATAAACAATCAAAAAATAACTATTCGTCTACTTACTGGACACAAAATTAATAACTGAAGAAAACAACTTATCAACATTGATTCTCATCTAAATATTTTTATACTTCATTCGATTTAAGAAAAAAAATTGGATTGGAAAGAAAAGAAAACAACTTAATTTAGTTCTTACATTTTTTTTCATTAAACTTAATTGTAAAAAAAAAGTTAATCCATTTGTTCTTGTCAGTTTTGTACTACGAATTTTGTATTAAAATGCTTTTTAATACCCATTAACATATTTTTTATTTCTTTTCTATTTAATTTGTTATATCTGTTATGAAAGGAAGTCTTATCTGTTCTCTTTGATTTTTGTTTTTCTATTTAACAATGTTGAATCAATCATTCATGTCATATGAAATGAGTGAGGAACTCTTTGTGATTGGACATAAGAGTACAATAAATTATACCATATAAATTCCAGATGATAGTTTTAGGAAATATTACAATACAAAAATAAGTTCCTTGAGGAAGTTTATTTTGTTTGTGTTAAAATTTCATTGTAAAAGATGATAAGCATTAATTTGCCAGTAATTGGCAATGAAAGGTGCCTGTAGATAAAATAATTTCTGCTGCTTTTTGTTTCATAATGATAAATAATAATGCAATTATTGTTTTAGTTCTGTTGTATTATATCGATTGTCATTATTTATGGTTACAATGATTCATAACCATACTGAAAGAGAAAAAAATTAAAGTTTGTGACAAATGTGATTTACCAAGAGTTTCATATATTTATGTAAGTAAATTGGGAAATCTTTTAAGAAACTCATCAAATGTGATTTATAATCCATTTGTTTTACAAATGGGTGCCTGTATAGTAATCCAGTTTGTTCTTTTTTTTTCTTTTCTTTTTTTTGCATTGTACATGGATTTGCATACTTAACAGACGATTTGTCTATGTTTTACTTTAATTTAAAAAGTTATTTATCGTAGATTATAAGTTTCAACCCTCTGCCCTTATAACTGCTGAGTAAAGACTAGAGCAGAGGTTAAATGTTTGATAATAGGAATTAATATTTTGTGTAATTTATAGTTTCTTATTACATATTGTGAATTTTCATTTAATACAAAATTTGCTTTGCATATGTTTTTAGATTCTGGATTTGAAAAAATCCAGTGTGAACCTCAATATTACATTATCTAAATATTAAAAAGATTTAAAAAATAATAAAATAAAATAATCAGCCAAATGTAAATAAAAACTTCTTATAAACATTTCAAAAATAATGTGTAAAATATTTTTTATTTTTTATAACCACTTTTTCCTTCAAATTCTGCTATTGCTATATGTCACATTGGAATGGTAGTTAGTAAATTGTATATTGAAAAATAAAAGTTTTGATTAACTTTTAAACATTGCATTTAAAGAAATGGCAAGAATATGAATTCTAAAATCCATCTGGTGGAAACTGTCAAATTAATAAAATTGAAGCTGTGGTTATATTTCAGTACAATGTTTTCTGTTTTTCCTAATCCACAAAGTCAGGGAAGTGTTTCCACTATTTTTGTAAAACTAATAATTAAGCGATTCTTTCCTGTGTTTCAGTCTGCTATTTTGTAGTTGGTTTTTTCACTTAGAATATGTGTGAAAGCAACAATTATTAAACAAATGAAAATAAAATATTACCATACTAAATATGTTATTTTGAAGATAAAAAAAATAAACTTTGACTCCATTAAGTTTTACTCCTGCTGGTAATTTTTAAATATAGATTTTTTTAAATTCCTACATATATCAAAGATTTGGTGAACTGTCACATAACAGTAAAAGACGCAGGGGAAATACGTTCTAGGACTATAATGACTACTTCCAACAAAATCATTAGAAATAACCTAAAAATTTTAATAATTTATAAACTTGGATCAAACTTTGTTCTTAATCCTTACTACTTTATTCTTTCTTTTCTACTTTTTTGTTACTTTTTATTGAAGTAATACTATGTACACAATGCCTAAGAATATCAAAACTGAAAATTTCGAGGGCAGCGTAGAAAATTGGATCTAGAAGGTAATTAATACCATGGAACCTGTAGGACTTCAAAAATGTATAGTTCAAAAGTATTGACCATAAACCTTCAGAAATAATGTTTAATGGCTAAATAATCGTAGAGTAATAATGACTTAAATAATAAAAGTTAAAGTTAACAAACATTGCCTAAAGCCTGCATAGGCTGTGTCTAGAAACTGGCCTTGTAGATGGCATACAGAACTTTTGTAAATGATGGTTCTATTCACAGAATTTGTTGTTTTCAATGATCCAGATTTCAATTGACATAAAGAAATTGGGGCCATAAATATTTTTATTGTATATCAATCTTTGTGTGTGAATAAGTTACATATTGAAACAAAATTTATGGTCCTTGAGTAACATTGAGCACGAATGAATGTGATATATATTGTATGACTACATTTGGCTTGAATGAGAAGGGGAAATGAGAAAGTTTTTATTTGATTCAATGAAGAGAGTATAATTTATTAGTGTGGCAAGTAAGAACCTGAAGAATATTGGAATACTCTGGGGGCAGTGTGAACGAAGTCTGGTATGTGAATGAATGCAAGGGGCTTCTTCCCTAATTATTTTAAGGAATGTTGAGTTTATGAGGGCAGTGTGAATGAAGTCTGGTATGGGAATGAATGCAGGGGGCTTCTTCCCTAATTATTCTAAGGAATGTTGAGTTCTACGAGGGCAGTGTGAATGAAGTCTGGTATGAGAATGAATGCAGGGGGCTTCTTCCCTAATTATTCTAAGGAATGTTGAGTTCTACGAGGGCAGTGTGAATGAATGCAGGGGGCTTCTACCCTAATTATTTTAAGGAATGTTGAGTTCTATGATGGCAGTGTGAATGAAGTGTGGTATGCGAATGAATAGGGGGCTTTTACATTAATTACCCCAAGGAATATCTAGTGTTATGTGGGCAGTGTCAATGAATGTAGAGGGCTTCTTACCTAATTATTCCAAGGAATATTGAATCCTATGGGGGTTGTGTATCTGATGTGTGAATGTTGGGGCTTCTTCCCCAATTACCCCGAGGAATAACAAGTACTCTTGAGCATTATGAATGTAATTTATTAGCGTGAAGGCTGGGGCTTTTTACCCAATTAGCCCCAAGTACTCTAGAACAGTATGAATGACTAACCAGGCCAACTTATTTTTAAATGTATATATTTTCATTATATTTGTATAGTGTGTGTTTATTATATGAATATTTTTTATCTTTGACTAGTAGAGGGAGGTTGGAATAGGATAGAGAAAGGAAAGAGGTTTCCTTTAACATCCAACGCACAATTGACTTAGCTGCAGCGTCGTAAAAATTAGTAGTAGTAAGAAGTAAAATATAAGAGGGAAAAGAAAGATAGCAAAGAAGAAAATAGAATGAAATAATACCAACGACTTATCTGCAAAATATATTTTTATCTCATAATATAAGGTCAAATGTACAGTGAAAATACACATTGACAAATTTTTATCTTAACATTTATCATAAATATCTCGGAATTATAATAATCACCATAGGCTATGACCGCAATAATGACAATTGTATCCAACAAAATAAAAATATCACATTTATACAAGTAACTTTGTAAAGGTAACATAAAATGAACTATAGTATTCTTTTTAGGCATCCCTATATCGACAAACATTGCAACAATCATTATCACTATTACTATTAGGTATGGTTATTACAAATATATATTCATTGACAACATTTACAAGAGATTTAATCTTAAAAAGAAGAATAACATCAATTTTATAAATAAGTGCTAAGATTAGCTAGTGTTTTCTCCAGTCTCCAAATTATTTCACAATCAGTGCTAAGGAAATGTTTTCTACACTTTAAACAAGTAATAATACAAGTAATAAACAGTTCATGTAAATGATTCCTTCGATCAAAACAATCTTCAAAAGAAAAACCAATTCTTAGCACCATAAGGAAAAAATAATGGTTCTTTATAGATAGTTTATAATATACTGAAAACAATTTTTTTTTGTACACACACACACACATATATATTAGCGAGATCACCCACTTTATATTTTTTCAAACAAACATTAAATTAAAAAATAAACATTTCTATAAAAATGCATGTGTACATTTTGCCTAACAAATATAGTATTTAGTACAATTTGTCTATCACAAATTAGTAACAAATAGTAATAACAACGTTTTTCTTTTTAATAAATATGGCACTTAGAAAACAAAACAGTAGATTACAAATTTCAAATATAATAATTATTTTTTAAACATCATGAAGTTACTCTTTTCCCTTCATGCATGCAAACAAGTGAATCGTCTCTGGTTTTAATCCATAATAAATCTTTATTCTTCACCCCAGGCTTTGAAAGACAAATTGTGTAGGAAAGTTGGATAAGATTATTTGAAATATATATATTAAAAAAACAACAGAGTTTTAGTCTTATGTCAAGCTCGTTTTCTTTACATATTGAATAAGAATCAATATTCACAGTGATTTGTCTTAATACTGAACTGTTTTATGTAGCAAAAAGACAAGTAGCTGACAATTTTAAACAAATAGAATTAAAACTACTTCAAATAACTGTATTAAGTCTAAAATTAACTTTGTTTTCAATGGCTCAGTATTTATGTTTAACTAAAATCAATAATTTAATGTTATAAATGGTTTAAGAACCCAAAATTCATTATTACATTTTTATTTGTCATCTCTAAATGTTTGAGAATTTTATGAAATCTGGTCCAGCTATTTTCTGTTATTCTTAACCAGAAATTGGCTCAATGTTGTCTTTACTGAAAAACATACTTTCTGTTTTGTTTCTCTGTCAACCGCTAATAAAAGAAAAAGCGGAACCGAACATGATTTAATAGCAAAACGTAACTGATTTCGGCCTAACAGCGAGTACAACCTTTTAGACAAAAAATAGTTGTATTGGTTTTGTTAAAGAAAAATGATATTTTGAGCAATAATATGAGTTAAAAAGCACTTAATTTACAATCACAATCTCCAATTTTGCTTAGATGACACAACTGATTAAGTTGTAAGGCTGCCCCTAAGAAGAACAAGGTTGAGCAGGTAAATGGCCATGAATGAAATAAAAATATATTGACATAAAGGGACTAAGTTGATTGAGTGGTTAGGGTGTCCGACTCCTATTTGCCATGCTAGCGGCTCTTGATTCAAATCCCGGCTTATTTGTGAATAATATGAAAAAAGTATTGTAAGTGGTTTGATGCCTAATTTGTGACTGTCGTTAGATGTTAAGCTGTAAGATACAAATTAGTTTACTTTGTCCACAAAGTTTGTTTGAAAAACTAACAAAAGAAAAAAGAACTATTTGATTGCATTCTACATCATTGTTTATTTGAAAGATAACACGGATTTATTTTTGGCATGTATGCACAAACTTTTTTTCTGCTGATTTGTTTCACTGAATTTGCATTATGTATGGTAAGGATTTTGTGTAGATCCAGAACAAGATGAGGAATAAAAGCAATGGTCAACCTCACGACTGGTGGAGGAAACTATAGATCTTATCAATAGGATCTCTTTCAGGTTTGAGAACGCGGTAACACTTATTTGGATATCACGGCAATGAAAAGGCAGATGACCAAGCCAAACAAGGTTCTAATACTTCGTTTGTTGGACCACAACCGATATTACCTCACTCTATGAGCACAGCGAAAGAGAGTATGAAAAACTGGGGCATGAAACAGTTCCCTACGGAGTGGAACTGGACACACACAATGGAAAGAGTTTGTTAAGGCGATCAAACCAACAGAATCGAAATGGCTATTCTCTATCTCAAGGAAGGGAATTAGGAGGCTGATGGGTATTCTGACGGGCCACTGCCCACTGAGAAGACACCTCTACGTAATGGGTATCCTACCAGATCCCTTGTGCCGTTTTTGCGAAATAGAAGAAGAAACGGCAAGGCACTACCTCGCAAAGTGTGATAGGTGAGCAAGGTCTAGATTTGAAATTTTTGAAGGAGAGGACATCACTCCCCGAGATTAAATTCCAAAATTTTGGGGTTTGTGAACAGTTCCAAGAGGTTTATGCTATACATGTGAGCCGACCAAATCTCGGACTTTTTTGTGATCGGGTACGAGTCTCCCAAGGCATTTAAACCCTCGGGTCTTGGTCGCCCACCCTGCATAATATATATAATATAAGCAATGAAGGGCGAATATAGGGATTCATAACTATGCTGCATTAAAAAAAAATTCCGTAATTTTTAAATTTAACTCAATTCAAATAACTAACAGACATTTTGTAAAAGAAGTAAACCTTTGTCGAGGTTAAACCCGTCGTTTTCGCAAACGGTCCTCTTATCAATTTTGTTTTATTCCTTCATTAAGGGGCATAAAGTTGTAGGTAAATGCATGTAAATACTGGAAGTAGAGGTAATGTCCAACTCATTATTAATGATGGATTACTTTTTAGTTTAAAACGTACGTAGCTTTAGTCGGTCTGATACACTAACAAACAATACCGTATGATGTACCGTAAAATGTAGAAAACATGGATTGGGTTGGATTTGGGTTGTTAGGTTATATGGGGTTAGAGTTGAGTATAGGTTAAATTATGTGGGGGGTTAGGGACAGGTTAAGTTACATTATGTAAGATTAGGGACAGGTTAAGTGGGATTAGAGTTACGAGCAGATTAGATTATGTGGGGTTAGGAACAGGTTACTATAATTATTATTACGTGGATTTTAATCATTTCTACAAAAAATCTTAATGATGGTTTGATACTTCTGAATTTGAATCCTCGACTATTTAGCTCCTATAAGCTGACATTATGTAAGATTATAGACAGGTTAGGATAGGTGAGGTTAGAGTTAGTCATATTAAGTTAGGGACAGGTCAAATTACATTATGTAATGTTACATACAGGTTAGGTTATGTGAGTTTAGGGACAGGTTAAGTTACATAGGATAGGTGGGGTTAGGGTTAGGGACAAATTAGGTTAGGTGGAGTTAGGGATAGGTTAAATAATATTAAGTAAGATTACAGACAGTTTAAGTTAGGTGGGGTTAGAGTTAGGGTCAGATTAGGTTAGGTGGAGTTAGGGTCACTAACGCAGGCTTCATTGCCATCCTGTATTTTTTAACAATTTTATATTAAACTAAATCATTAAGAATCAACTATCATTATTATTATGTGGATTTTCATAATTTCTACAAAAAATCTTAATGACAGTTTGATACTTCTGAATTTGAATCCTTGACTATTTAGCTCCGATTAGTTAATGTCGAAGCCATTTCTTTGTGTAATATTGGTTCTTAAAATCACAGGGGTATTCATGATCCTTGTGTGAACCCTGTTAACTCTTAGGTTATGTCAGTTCAAGAAAAAAGATGAATGTAGGTCTGTTAGAATCAGCTACTTAACATTGCCCGATCTATGTTAGTTTTTAAATCAAACTGAATAGCACTGTAGTTAGAGTTTTAGCCGTTAGCACTTAGGTAACAAATATGGTTGACATGAATTGAGATGTTTTACTGGATTCACAAACCAATTATTCTATCTCCTCCTTATCTGGTCAGTCAGATATTTGTCTTTGATTACATAGGGCGCAATTTATGTGCTGTATAATATGTCTAACTTCTAACATTCAATGAGCTCTTCTCCTATTTCATCATGCAATTTTTCACACATATCTAAGATTGCATTTTGAATCAAAGTATTGATTAGTCTTATCTTTTGAGTGACTTTTGGTACTTTGTAAAAATACTCTTCCTTCACAAATGAAAACAAAAGCTTTATGAGCAGTAACAAATCTTCAAAAACTATTAAACCTTTGACAAAAGTTTTTAGTTGCCATGCATCATGTGTGACACACTACAGAGAAAAACTAATATGTTAGCATAGAAATAAGAACAGGGGCATTAGGCTTACCGAGTACCAACCATTTTCGACTCGACTTAACAAGCTCTAACATACAACACAAATCTTGAATCCCCTTATATATATAATTTCTATTATGTAAATTATTATTTCTAAATAAATAAAGCAATAATGTTTATAAAAAATATTTAGCATTAGATGTTTAAGACCATCCAAAATTTATGACTAGCTAAATACTTGGCATTTTAACCATTTTTTTTCTTATTTCATTTCTCATTGACTACTTTGTTATTCTTACACATTTGGTTTTACGTTTGGTTCAATGAAACCTATCAAAAATACTCTAGGCAGTTAGTGGTTCTCTTTCTCTTTTTAAACATTATTTTTAATTCTATGTAATTTCATCCAATCACTTATGTTCCAGTGACTTTTGACACTGAGGGTGAAATCTACCTACTATGTTTGTCTACCCTTTTTAACTTATTCTTGTTAAAATTGCAAATCGCTCCAAGAAGAGCACTTCGGCCTTCGTCTTCAATTAAAGGAGGCGATGTTAACTTCTCTTCACTGCAACCTGAAAAACATTAATCCTGTTACAAATAAAATATAAATTAAATTATTAAAGTTTCATCTCATGCCAACATGGATACAGAATGAATAAATAAAAATGTTTTTTTTTACTTTTGTAAATATTCCTTTAAATTTGTTTCCTACTCTTCCTTTCATTATTATGGTTATTTGTATCATTTTAATCCTTTACTATATTGAATTTTTTATAAACACAATTATATGCAGTATTTGTTTGATATTACTTTACAAGGGAAAGCTACAGACATGGGATCCAGATTTTACTGAAACCATTTTTGATGATAGTCATTCGAAAAGTATTATGCATGTGGCCACGCATTCTTTCTAATGTGCCCTAGATGTCAAGAATCACTTTTAATTTAATTTTTTAAAATATTATATTTTTGTGCTTTCGTCATGCATGTATTTCAAGGTTATTTATCAGCAGATTTGTATTTTTATGTAGAATAAGAAAGTAATATATCGGATTGTATTAAATGAGGTTAGATATATATCTAATATCATTTCATATTTCTCAGTATTAAGAACCTATAGCTGAAAGATGCTTTGTTTAAAAAAAATTAGTTTGTTAGTTAGCCACGTTTTTTTTTTCTTTGGCTTTAATTTTTTGTAGACCAGGTTTGTGCAATTATGTATAGTTTATCAGCTTATAAACCCCTGTAAAGTATTCTTTAGATAGTTTCGAAGTATCACCATTTTTATTACCACCAATTCTGAGAAATTTTGGAGACAATTCAGAAAAGCAAACATTTTGCAAGAAATTTTTTTTAAACAAAATTTGTACACAGGGGTTTTCAGGAATGGTTAGGTTAGGGTTAAAGAACCGTTAGGTTAAGTAGAGTTGTATTAAACGTTTGTCAGGGTGTTCTGTTGATGACCAAAACACAAAAGGTTATAAGAGCATTGATTTGTTTTTGAGCTCGATAAATAAATTTATGTCAATTTTTGCCCGATCGATTTTGTGTTACCTGGGAGTGCACATTGTTTGAGTTAGGTTAGGTGAGGTTAAGGTTAGAGATAGGTTAAATATTAGGTTAAGGACAGATTAGCATTAGGGTTAAAATAATTTATTTTTTATGCCATTCCAGTGAGAAAATAAGAATGAAACCAACAAAAAGACTTGGCATTTTTATTTATTTATTGTTTTCATTTTTTTGGTGGGGGGACGGATTCCTCAGAAGCAGAGGTCCCACTGCAACCTGCTTATTTTTTCAACTATCTAATTCCCATCTAGGGATTCCGTGTTCTTCGCTGAAGAAATTTTTGAAGGGGGTCAGGCACGAATTCAGAATCACTGAGATTTGAACCCCCCCGGGACCATTAATGAGTGCCAAGTTTTAACCTTGTGACCATCTCTCCCCGTATAAACTCAAAGGTGATAGTGAAAATCAAACCCTCGACCATGGATCTACTAGCGTAGAGTCTGATGCCTTTCAAGTTTATATGCACTAAAAAAGCAGTTACGGACTTAGATGTTAATTGTGAATTAAAAGACTTAGAAGTCCATGTGAACTGTGACTTAGAAGTTAACAATATTAATTTGAAAATGAACCTGAATTTTTAGAAGAATCTTTGCTTGAAATACTTTCAGCCTTGTTTGAAATATCTATGCTACCATTAATTTCATTGTCTTCCTTCTGAAAATGACAGAGGAAAAATTAAAATGATTAAATTTGAACTATTTATAAATACAATTGGTAAATATATTTACTATTTGGGCCTTATCCTTAAAGCAAACCACTAATTTACCATCATAGTTAAGCATTCCATACATCTTCTTCGTACGAATATTTTGACGATACTGCAACAATTAGTTCAGAATCAACACCAATTGAAAATTAAAAACATAGAAAAATAAATTAGGCTCTACATGATGAGAAATAAAAAGAAAATCTATTCAAACCCGAAAACTTTATTTCAATTGATCTTATTTATATTAATTGATTGATATATAATTATGTAAAGTTCTTGAGATGACAATTCTATTCACACTCATGACCTTCGGCTTAATACGCCACTTGAGCTATTGACTTCACACCCCTGGTACACAAACTCATCTCAGCCTACAACTTTTTTCAAATTTGCCACTTTTACACACACTAATTTTTCAACACTTTACACCAAAATTATAAATCAATTTCAATTATAACTTTGGTTAAATAAGACCAAATAAAAAAAACATATTGATTAATATAATAATTACTGAAATACCTACACTTCGCTAACAGTTCCCGTGGCCACTTCATGAGTCGCCAAGAATCGAAATAATTACACAAAATTTGATTATATGGCAACAAGAGGGAATTGGAAAAAAGTTGTAGATTGAGATGAGTTGGTGTCCTGGGAGACTGAAATCACGATAGTTCAAGTGGTTAGAGCAGTGGCATATTGAGCCGAAGGTTGTGGGTTCAAGTCTCGCTTGTGACACAAATTTTTCATCTCACCCATTTCATATAAAAATGATGAATCAATGTAAAACATTACTTTGGTTAAATAGGACCAACTATAAGACATATGGCTTATTTATATAAATAAATTTAACACAATATTATACCTTAACTTGGTCTTCATTCAGACGCTCCAACAATTTAGTACCATTTGAGAGAAGGTGTTGTTTTGAGGAAGAAGTGAGCTTTAAGAGTGGTTGTGGAGCTGGTGGTCCTTGGTGAAAAATTTGACTATTCAAAAGATCTGTTACAGTTGGTAGTGCTGCTTTGCTCCGAGGGCACAAAATCGACTCAAGGACAGACTCTGTAACAATCGTTCAGAATAAAAACACCATTTAAATATCGAAATGATAAACGAAACCTTACTGAAAACTGGAGGGCACTCAGTGATTTCTTTCAAATGTACATCGGTAAAAGGTTTGCCAAACAACATTTCATAAATAATAAGGCCAAAACTGTAAACATCAATTGCCTGCATTGATTGTATTTGTTTTACTTTCACAAAACTTTCCCTGTAGTAAGAAGGAAGAGCAAAGAGTGAATTTTCTAAGTCTAATAACTTTACAACATCTCCATCAAGGGTTACATTTCCTAAATGTAAATGTCCTAAAAAAATCCAAGCAGTATTAACAATTTTTATTATTATTAAGGAAAAAAAATATAATACCATGATAAACTCCGTTATGATGTAAGAAAGTGAGGATTTGAAGAATTTGAGAAGCGATTTCAATCACCTTAGGAACTGGTAACAAATTCTTCAGTTCTACACTCCTATATTTTCTAAGAGCAGATGTAAAATACGGAGATTTCACACCATACATCATATCCAAGACCGAGCCACACTTTTTAGCCTGTTTTATCACCCAGCCTCCATCTTTACATATCCCAACCTTTGTTATTGGTATTATATTTATATGCTGTGAGAATATATAAACAAAATTAGTAAAAATTATCTATATTGTAAAAAATATGTAGGTTTGGGAAAATAATGTATTTTCTAAACTGAAAAATCTTCCTACAGCATGTTACTAATTTACTCAAAAATAAGCTATCCTCCTATTATATCCTATTCCTGAATCCTTCTCTAATCAGGTAATTTATTTTAAAATTTCAGAATAAAAATAATGACAATGTACCTTCAAAGTTGTCAGAAGATTGAAAGTCACAAGTCATCGGCAAATGACTGTCAATCACTACCGATTACATCTGGATTTAAGTCTAATTGGGAAATTCAGTCACATTAAGAATTTGTTAGGGTCTTCAGTTGATGAATAAAGTACCAAAGGCCATTTGAACGTGGATAGTTTTTGGGCTGAATACAGTTTTTTGTGTGACAATTTTTACATTAAGTGGAGTATGCATGGGTTGGGTTAGGTTAGGTAAAGTTAGGGATGGTATGGTTAGGTTAGATAATATTAAGGTAATGAATGGGTCAGGTTAGGTAGGGCTAGGGTTAAGATTAAGAAGGTTAGATTATGTAGGATTATAGTAAGAATTTTTCAGGATGTTCTGTTGATAACCAAAGTTCAAAAGATCATATTGACATGTGTAAGTTTTTGGGTTGGATACAAACATTTATCTGTATGATCATGTTTGCACAATTGGTTTCACGTTACTGGTGAGTGCACTTGGATTGTGTTAGGCTACGTAGAATTGTATTAAGAATTTATCAGAGTATTTTACTAATGGCCAAAGTACGAAAGGCCATATAACATGAATATGTTTTTGAGCTGGGTACATATACATATTAATTCTGTGTGCCAATTTTTGCCCCATTGATTTTGTGTTAGTAGGGAATGTGCATGATGGTTTGGATTAAGTTAGGTAGGATTAGTGTTAGGTACATGTTAAGATAGATTAGGTAGGATTACATTAAGGGCCAGGTTAGGTTCAAGTAAAGATAGGTTAGGTAGAATTATGGTAAGGCACAAGTTAAGCAAGGTTAGGACCAGGTTAGGTAGGATTAGGGACAGATAAGGTTGGGTAGGGTTAGGAAAGGGTGTGGAGAAGTTAGAGGGGTTAGGGACAGACTAGATTAGGTTAGGGGCATGCAAACAATGAAGAATGTCAAGACTTCTAATAACTGGACATCATGACAATTTTACTTTCACAAGCATTATTCCATTTACTTTACTACTTTACTAAGAAAATAAGAAAAGTATTTCTAATAAATGGGCAAAGATTTAAAAAACGACACTTTTCAGTGGAAGATAAAAGGAAAAAATTTTCTTTCTGTCATAAAAAAAAGTTGAAGCCAAGTCCATGAGAAAGAGAAAATTGTTATCCTTGTATAAAGACATATTTATTCAAATTCAATTCATTTTTTTACTTCCAACTAATGTACCTAATAAATTTTCTATATGCGGCCCTTCTAAGAAGCAAACCCCATTTTATGGCAGTGTCCAATTATAAGTTCAAATGTACATTTCAGAATTTCATCAGAAACTTACTTAATATTAAACAAGAGTAAAATATATATGATACATGATCATACAGATAAAAACACATGTTTACATTTCAGGGTCCCAAAAATAAAGAAAAATTGAACAGTTCTTAAAAATAAAATGTTGCACCTGTAAGCTTGCAAATGATTTGAGAACGGATAATATTTGCTTTTCGTCTAAGAACTTGTCCGGTCCAAACGGGGTCCATGTTAATATGTACTCTTCTTTATTATTTGGTTCCAAAGTTACAAGGTAGTGCTCCTTTCTTAACCTCCAGCCCAAATGTGGTAACTGTTTCACTATTTTAACATCCAACTCCCCCCGCAACTTGATGCACATCTGGGTTTGACCGAGGGCTAAAATTAAATAATTTTATATCTATTTCCTGTTAAATTAGCAAATTTAAAATTAAAAAATAAATACCGTGGTAAAATTTGTAGTTGTGTGGATCCAGAAATTTTTTTACTCCAAGCTGACTCGAAAACAAAGGATCTTGCAGTATCACATCTAAATATTTCTAAAAATAAATTACAATTTTCAATATAATTAAAATCATACAAATATTACTATTAATATTTACTTGTAATGCTACTTGTCTTTCAGCAATGAATTCCCTATCCATATTTCCGATAATTTTTTTTGGTGGAAAAGGAAGGGAAATGCCATCCGCTTGGAATTCCTGGTGTAGAGATAAGAAATCATTGTACCTCCTTTGAATATGCCAGCTGTTCTCAGGAAGCAAACCCCTTTGGACCCTAATCACGTACTCCTGGACAAATAGGAAACCAACATTTTGACAATATTATTTATTATGATAGTAACTCTATAAAATTTACCTATCCTCCAAATAACAAATATAAACTTTAATTTTTCTATTTCAATTATATGTTCATAAAATCTGAATTTGCAGAGTTGTTAGTATAGCACATTTCTTTTTAATTGATCGTAATATGAAAAAAGTATTTGTACCAAACTCAAGGTTGTCGCCCTTGTCCATGGCTTCTTAAACAGCCGCTTAAACCATGGTCTTGCCATTCGAGGTCACATACCCAACTTCATCACCAAGGAATTGGATACCCTCCACACCCTCCAATCTTTGTAACCTGAGACTGCTCCTAGCTGAGCGGTATCAGACAGGCCAGTACCAGAGACCAGGGATTAGAATGTTAAAAGTCACAATCTGGGTTAGTGTTTGATAGATGGACAGACTGCGATACCCATCACCTGAGTTCAAAGTCTGAGTCAGAGGTCTAGTCTTCCTGAGGAGTTCATTAGAAAAGGGTTTTCGGCAATCCGCCACCTTCAAGACCTACGACCCAGCCCAACAACTTTCCTCCCCAATATGAAGACTGTATACTGAGAAATAAAACTGAGAGTAAACCAGGGGCACCACCCCATAACTGGAGGGTTCTATTAATGCTTCTTTCCCAAGAAAGACAGCTCTACCTCTTTAGGCCAGGAGAGAAAGAGAGATCTGGACCACAATATTGTAAAGAAGTCCTGATCCTTAATTAACGAGAAATTGGACCTCCCGTACGACCAAAATTGCTTTTTTACTTTAATTATCGACAGGTTGATGAGCCATGAGAGCCTAGTTGGCTGACTAGTCAAAGCAACTGCCAAGCTAACAGTTCTGGGTTCAAATCCCGGTACAGTATTTCGACCCAGGTCAAGTGGACATTAATCACTTCGACAGCAGTAATTTTAGGTAGGCTGTGTTCAGGTAATGAGAGGATCCGGCCTAAATAAGAGAGATGAAGTATTAAGTTGTGATGTTCTGGTCTGATATGGACAGAAAGGGACTATTTGCGTAGAATGACTTGCCCCCAAATCAAAATAAAACCAAAGATATCATAGGGAAATTTAAGTGATATAAAAAGAAAGATAAAGCAAATCCAAAAAATGTATTTAAAAGAATATATACCACATCCCCAAACCCATCACCTTTAAAATTTACAAGTTAACCCAACATTATCCATCACCCAATTTCAATTAGAAGGAGGGTCGCTCCTGCCCCCAACCTATCCGTTGCCCCCCAGGTGTCAACTCCTAATATACGTCAATCCTGGGGGTGACAAGGATCTGTTGATGTTTCCAAGTAGCGCACCTAGTACGGAATAAAAGTCGGGAGGTAAAATAATTTTCTAATAAAGAAATGTAGAAATGATTTGTAGAAGCTGCGACATTGGAAGCTGTACAAAGACATTTCTTGTACCTCATTTGGTTCAGACATAGCATTCTTTTGTAATATTCATTTTCTCCATGAACTAACTGGACGTGAAAATTTGTGGACCTGTAGACTTATTTATGATGTATTCTTTACAGTTCTTGGCAATGCGGGGACTGAGTCGGTCTCCAAATAAATTTGAAACCAACTTTTAAAAACAAAATTATGTCAATTTTTAGATATCTTTAAGATTATTTTTCCTGGATGACTTTCATATAGGTCAAAACCTTTTCAATACCAACTGAATTTTATTTGTTTCATCATAACCTTACCAATATTCACATTATTCGTGATTTGTGGAATATATTGGAAGCTGTACAGCGACATTTCTTGTGCCTTATTTAGTCAGAGAGACAGCATTAGCAGAAGAATAATGTGTCAGAGAGACAGCATTATTTTACTGAATCAGTCTCCAATGGAACCTTGTTTTAAAAAATTTATTACTTCAGTTTGTAGACATCTTTAAGATCATTTAGCCTAGATTACGTTAAAAAATAGGTCGAAACTTGTCAATACCAATTGATTTTTATATGTTTCATGATAACCATACCAATATTCACATTATTTGTGGAATACATTGGAAGCTGTACAGAGACATTTCTTGCACCTTATTTGGTTCAGAGAGACTGCATTATTTTACTGAGTCAGACTCCAAATAAATTTGAAACCGTCTTTTAAAACCTTAATTATATCAATTTATAGACATCTTAAAGTTTGTTGTGCCTGGATGACTTTTAATGAATGACGAGATCCAGATCATTCATGAAACAACAGTCAGATCAGGCGATATTTTGGACCATTTTCTTTATTCTTACTGTAGACATTATAATTATCTTTTAAGTAAATATTTATAAAATTATATTTTTAATTTTGTTTTTTTGCTTCTAGCATTTCAACATGTATTACTTAATACTGTGCTTGTACTATGCAATATCCTGACTCGTTCCGTAACAAAGAAACATCAATTTGTAAAGAGAATAATAACAATTGTGAAAAGGTCGTTTTATAACAATAATAATATTTAATTTAAAAAAATACTCACGGTATGCCCTTGGACGGACTCTGCATTTATGATGGTGGCTGATATGCTGACAGTGTCGTCCAGGTACACTTTGTTTATCAGCTTTCTTTCAAATATAGACATCTGACAGCAACAGTAACAAAATGTTAAATGTCTTATCGTTTCGTATCGAGACTCAACGGAGGAAATACACAATCGCGTCAAAGGCAGGATTGAAAAGACTAGAAAATAACTCAAAAACGTCGGACACGTGTGATAAGAGAACGGTTGAGTGACAAGAAAGGAAAAAAAACGTTGAGTGTTCTGTCATGAAAAAAGAGCGAACTGCGGGCAGGAAGAAAAAAAAAGATTATGTTGTAAACTTTAACCTCCGTTATAAACAAATGCCGACATTTGCTTACCAAACTGATCTAATCTGATCGATGATAAATCGATGGATTGATTATTTAATTTTCAAATGAAAAACTTTCACAGTTGAAAGTATAGAAATACTGGATTAACATTATTCCAACGCTATCAGACGTTATCATTTTTCCAGTAAAGTGTAATCGCGCAAAAACCTAAAGATAAGCTGAAATCATGAATTTGATAATTTTTACGTTTATTGTGGTTCTCCCATGATGAAAATCAAACCTTGGAAAGTGTGCTTTTTCCCCCCAAAACACTTTCCTCGGTGCTTTTACGCTCGTTTTTCTTGATTTGATAATTGCTTTACCGATATGGCCTATATATGAGCTAGTGCATCATATTCACAAAGGATATGTCCCAATGTCTCTGCTTTGCCCAATTACAAACATATAATCTTCCTCAAAACGCAACGTAACCGTAGAAGAGATCCAACCGCTGAAGCCGGACCTACTAATCAAGTCCCTTGATGAACTAGGACTTACCGGTGTGGTTTAAGCACAGAACGGGGGATACAGTAGCTCTTAAAGGGCGCAGTATAATACACACCCCGAGTAATACATCTATCTATTTATCCTCTTAACATTAAAACACATTATATAATCACTATGCCACCTTGGTGTATGCCCCCAGTTTTTGCTCCATAATCTCTGGGCAATTCTTAGTAGTGTCTTGGCCTATATAACTTCTCTACTTAAGCAATTGGTCAAGTATTACTGGAAAGTGTGTAGTGTAAAGACATTAAATATATTTGTTTCGGCATAAATTTTTAAACTCTGATGTCATCTACTACTAGCAACCATGGTGAAAGTACTCCTCTTTGGGGACATCCTAGGTGCTATTTGTATAACCTGTTGATTAATTTCAAAACTTATTATCCAACTTGTTAGCGCTGCTAATATCCAGCTGATAGGTAGTAGTTTCTTTCCACTTTGTATGAGGTGTCATCAAAAGCTCCTTCTATGTCCATGAAGTAACAGAGCACTATTTCCTTATTCCCTAATGATTTATCTATCTCTCTGCCCTATTGTTCAAGGCAGTCTCTGGAAATTTACCTTTTGTGCATGTTTTTTTGACAAGATATCCTTAATCTCTTGGCTTACAATTTTCAGCTCAGTTTTAGGAATTTTTAACTCCAGTTGCTCAATTTTTTTCAGAAATCGTCGTTCCTTGATTGTTAATTTCGACTGAAGCGGGCAGAGCGGGCAAGGCACTGCAAAAACAAAGCGATGCCAACATAATGACCAGGTTATGATAATTAGTAGCCGAGAATGGAAACTTTTGGTAGTGTCAAACTGAAGACTTGTGAAATTAGTCATTTTACCTTTATATTAAAAAAAAAAAAATGGAAACTAGTTGATCAATTTTTCCAGGATTCGTCGTTCCTTGATTGTTAATTTCGACTGAGGCGGTAGAGCAGGTAAGGCACTGCAAAAACAAAGCGATGCCAACATAATGACCATGTTAATTAGTAGCCGAGAATGGAAACTTTTGGCAGTGTCTAACTGAAGACTTGTGAAATTAGTCATTTTATCTTATAAAAAAATGGAAACTCCAGTTGCTCAATTTTTCCAGGATTCGTCGTTCCTTGATTGTTAATTTCGACTGAGGCGGGCAGAGTGGGCAAGGCACTGCAAAAACAAAGCATTGACAACTAAATGACCACCTTATAACAGTCGCCTTGTCGAAAACGGCGAAATTTCAAAAATAACATTTTCTAACAAATAAATGTAAATCAAAACATATTTCTATTCAATGAACTCATTTAAACATTTATTACGGTTGTTGTGTCGGTAATTGTTCACTGGAATCTATGAGTTTCAACCGGGTTGTTTATGTTTATGTTATTGCAGTCGCACGTTGTGTTGGCAAAAAAGGTCAACGAACAAGAAGAGTACCTCCAAATCTAAATTCTAAAATGTCAAATTGTTTTTAACGCAACTTTTAACCGGTTTAGTGTCATTTCTGCCCTATTCATTTATCGGTATAGCCTGAAAATGTATTTTCCTATTGGTTGGCCTAAAGTGCTTAACGTTTTCAATCCAAATAATTGCTCAATTCGTCAATTAGTCTGCAACAGGGACAAAATATTGTTCTCTGTTCTAACGGACGACACTTTACTCATTTACTACTGCAAGGTAAGTTGATCATTCGGTCATTTTATTATCAGTTCGCTGAACACTCAAATGAAATTTGGGTCGGTTTTGCCATTCCTGTACATATTTGTGTCAATGGAAATGCTTATTACTTTGGTTTTTACCACTTTCTCTAACTAGTTAAGATAATTGTTATTACATAAATCAATACATTTTGATAGATTCTATTTTAAAAGTGTCTGTTGTGAACGACTGGATCACCAGTCCTCACCGCACACCTCACACTATTTTTGATATTACTTTAATACTAGCCCTGTTACACAAAAGCATAACTATACCAAATTCTCTACGTTTTTAATCCAAAAAATTGATCAATTGCACTTTATTCATATACTATTGCAAGGTTCTTACCTTGCATACCTGTTCATTTGGTCATTTTATTATCATCAGTTTGTTGAACACTCAAATGAAATTTGGGTAGGTTTTGCCATTCCTGTACATATTTGTGTCAGTGGACATGCTTACTACTGTTTTTACCACTTGTTCTAACTATCTAAGATAATTTGTATTATATAAATCAATACATGGTGATAGATTCTAGTTTAAAAGTGTCTGTTGTGAACTGCTGGATCACCAGTCCTCATTGCTACACCTCACACTATTTTTGATATTATATTAATACTTGCCCTGCTACACAAAAGCATAACTGAACCAAATTCTCAATGTTTTCAATCCAAAAAATTTATCAATTGCACATTATTCATTTACTATTGCAAGGTAAGGTGGTCATTTTATTGACATCAGTTCGCTGAACACTCAAAAGAAATTCGGGTTGGTTTTGCCATTCCTGCACACATTTGCTGTAGTGGAAATGTTAACTATTGTTTGCACTTGTCCTAAGTACTGCAGATAATTTTTCTTACATAATTCAACATTTGACAGCTCCTACATTTGAAAGTGCCTGTTCTGAACCACTGGCTTACCAGTCCTCTTCGCCAGTCACACTATTTTAAATATTATATTAACATTTGCCCTAGTAAACAAAAACAGTACAAAGCAAAGTGTTAAACATTTAAAAGTCTTATCATTCAAAAGGCTACTTGGCTGTTAAATTAAAAAAATATAGAATTGTATAGCTTCTTGCTGAATTTGGGGGATACTGTCTCTCAATCACCAAATCACTCCCTGAGATAAAATGGTCCAAAATCTTAGGGTTTGTGAACAAGTCCAAGAGACTTACGCAGGTAACATGAGCTCCCGGACCTTTTAGGGATGGGGTACAAGTCTACTCAGGCATTTAACCCCTCGGGTCTTGGTTGCCCACTCTGCGTAATATATGTATTTATAGTCACGTTAATGGTTGAGAGGGAGTGATGGTCGAGGTCTCAACAGTTGTGGTGTTGTACTTTAAGTTTTGTCTAAATATTGTGAATGTTTTGTTTGCTTTGAGAGAAAAACTTTGATATGAATTAGTCATGTTAAAATCAACCATCACTAGAACAGGCCGGAATGAGAGTAAAAAAATTCAGGTTTTTCTGGTTACCTGGTAACTTCCTTTCTATGTGAACTCAGTTGACTTGACCATTCGAGATGAGAACATGAGCGGCACTTGTGTTGCTTGGGCGGATGGGTTGACTGAGAGTGAAGGGGTTCGAGCGGTTCCCAATCATTTGCTACATGGCCTCACTCCTTGACATCCATTTGACTAGTTGAATCAACTAACCGCCTACCTGAAAGATGCATTAGGGTAGTACACTTTCAAGGTTTAGAAATAAAAAACGTTAAATTTCTCAACAGATCTTTTAGGCTGAAATGAAAGGAACTTTGGTCTCCAGTAACTCGGATGCAAGGAAAATTCCCCATCATTATCTTGATTTTAGTGAATAGAAGTATAAATTATTTGTGTTCTAGTGATTTTATCCATCAAACCAAAGATCAGAAATCGTGGTGCCTCCCTCAATAACATCTCCGTCAAGATACATCTCTCTTCATTGATATAAAGCGAAAGCTAGCTATACAGGAATTTGCAGTTTAGTTTGGAGGATAAGATAAATTTACACTTTCCACCATTAATAACCAACCCTTTTAATCTGTTGAATCTTTCTGAAGAAGACCCTAATCACTCACTCAGTCCACTTTCTTATACAGATTGAGTTGGCTAAAATGGCAAGGTACTCATCAATCAATTAATTAAGGTTTTTAGTTGAGATAAAAAAGTCAGTGCGGGATTCGAACCCACGACCTTCGGCTAGATATGCTGCTTCTCTACCACTTGAGCTATCGTGACTGATCCACTCCGACACTAACTTCCCATGTCAACTCCACCTTTTTGAATTTTCCCTCCTTTTTGCCATTTTTCAAGCCAGTTAGTGTCCGAGTGGATCGAGGTCACGATAGCTCAAGTGGTAGAGCAGCGGCGTATCTAGCTGAAGGTCGTTCGTTCAAATCCCGCTCGTGACACTGACTTTTTTATCTCAACTAAAAACCTTAATTAATTGAAAGATATTAATTGGTCAAGCGGACCACGAAAACTAGTGAATTTAGTACTCATCAATGTACATTTTTGAAAGGTTATTTTTACAATGAATTGAACGGTGCAAATGATTTTTAATTTGGAGTGACCATTGTCAAGTTATTTGCAAAAAACTATTTCTCACCAAGAATTTATTTATTTATTAGTTTAATTGATAGTAAATTAATTGTTTGTACTGAAAGTATAACTTTGCAGCAATTTCTTCAAATAACATTGATTATTTGTGCGAAACTCTAAATCATCAGATTTTTTCTAAAATGAAAATCTTGATAGCTAGCCATTTCTTTTAATAATTTTAGTTCTATACTAATTTCGATGTAATAATTAAAAAGAAAAATTTACAGTTTTAATTTATTTCAGCCATGTCTATTAATTGTCCTTCACCAACGTCCAAAAGATTCGTTAGAAGATATTGGTATGAATGAACTTGTAGAATGGAGACCTGATTCTAGCTCTTTGGTTGTCGTGGTAAGTATATAAATGCTGTAAACGTAAGTGTATTCTAAATTTGCTTTTTGAACTTTCAGACATCATGCGGCTATTTATTGTTGTACAAAGTGACATACGATCCCGATCATAAAGGGCTCTATGAACAAATAGACCCGCCGCAAATGAGCCTCAGGAGAGACAGCGCTGAGTTATTTATCAAAGAGATTATACCGCCACTTCATTTATCTTTAGTAAGTACTTATGTCAAATTGTTTGTCCTTATGAAACTGTCTCATACATTGTTGTGAACTAGGAAAAAGAAGTTCCTGTTGGAGGTGTGCTCACAAGTATTGGATGTATAAGGGACGAACTTATGGTCGCCACGACCAGAGGGCAAATTCTCCGATACCGTTGGGATATGACTCTAAATAGAGATTATTGCGTCGACTTACGAAGAGTACCATTTTGCCTTGATCAACATGTTTCAAAAGGTAAACTTCAATTAGCATGGAAGATTCCATTCCCATTTGAATTATAAAATTAAATGAAGCACAGAAATTTTTTAAAAGTACTTATTAGCATTTATTACTTTATTTTGATAATTATTGAAAACTTTGATGTACTAATGGTTTACTACATTAAATAAGAATAATTTATCATATATGGCCATAGTTATTCAGATTTCAGATTATTTACCGAGTCTAATTTTATATAACATAAAAACTATTTGGGCTGTGACTCTTTTATTTTACAGTTTTTTCCTAAATATAACATGGATTTTTATTACAGCCATACCCATATCAGAAGAAAACGCCTACATTATTGAAATTGATTATTCACCGTTGATAGGCGGTTTTGCAGTTGTATTTAACGATGGAAGGGCTGCTTTTCTTACTGCTTACTCATTGAAATTTGACCCTAATGTAGGTTTGATTGTATTTTATAAATTTTTATACAGTAAAATTAATGATGCTGTTATTTTCAGCAAATGCAAGGAATATGGGCGCCAAATATTGATGATGCTACCTGCGCCTCGGTGAATCATAAATTTAGATTGATTACATTTGGGAGAAAAAAGTAAGCCTTTAATTTAACATATTTTTTTTACCTTTTGTAAATAAATTGTAGCAACATAGCTAAATTAAACAACAATCTAAAGATTACTTTTCTCCAACTTAAAAAGAAATTTTTTGACATTTTTGAATATCGCCGAAAGTTTAAAACTGCATATTAACAGGATTGTTAGTACAACAAGGCTCATTTTCAATGATTAAGTGAAGTAACTTGAAGAAACTCTAACTTTATGTATCAAACTTTATTTCCTTAGCATCCTGGAATAAGGCTCTGAAGTCTTCTTTTTAATGATTATGCAGTCAACAAATTTCATCTTTTTGTATCATTATTCATTATATGATGATGGACGATGATAATTATTATACCTTGTGACCGTGATTCTAGGTCAGAAGATTAAAAAGAACAAAGCCATATGAACTTGTGTAGTTAAAAATGAATAGTGAATAGTGAAATGTAAATCTTATTGTATCAATGGGTTTATAAGAATGTAAACATTTATTTATTCTATAATATTATTGTAAAATTAATGGTTGGTCTAATACGACAAGTTTTAATAAATAAATTTAATTTATAAAAACAAAATTATAATTAAAGATTATTAGTATTATATTATTTTGTTGCCTGTGTGTACAACTACATAAAAACACTGGACGTTTTACTGGAATAATCTGTTAAGACTGTTATTAGTAAAGACCAGATATGTGTGCTCAAAATATGCAAAAGGTACGATAAAAAGCTCAAAAGGTGCAAAAATCTCAAAACGCAAAAAAGTGCAAAAATCTCAAAACACAAAAAAGTGCAAAAATCTCAAAATACAAAAAAGTGCAATAAAAAGCTCAAAAATGCGGTAAAACAAGCTTAAAATGTGCAAAAATCGCAAAATTCACAAAAAGTGTAATAAAAATCTCAAAATGTGCAAAAAGTACAATAAAAATAACAAGACACACAAAAATTGCAATAAAAATGTCAAAACATGCAAAAAAGCTCAGACTGTGCAAAAAGGGTAATAAAAATCTCAAAACACTAAAACAAAGTGGTATAAAAAATAAAATATGCAAAAATGCAATAAAAAAGACCTGCAAATAGTGCAAGAAAAAATCTCGAAACATGCAATAAAAAGCTCAAAATTGCAATATAAAGTTCAAAACTCACATTTAACACTGTAAAATTTTTATTTACCTCTTAAAAGTAATACTATTCTATTAAACATTGTTTATGGTGTGATAGTTTATTTTATAATCAATCAAATTAAATTTCAAGTTGCAACAATTAAATTTAAAAAACACAACTAGAAGATGACATTAAAGTAAGTTTTAAAGTTCATAAACTTTGCATAAAAGAACAAATATTCATTAAACAACACAATATAGTATCAACCTTAAATAGCAAAAAATTAATAACACAAGTTCAACAAATTTATTTTTTCATTGTAAATCAATACCACATACACACCAATAAGTTTTTCTCTCTGAGGTTATGCCTCTTTTCATGCAGAATTGTGTTTCAAACGAGAAAAGATACTTTTTTTAAACAATTTTTCCATTTGTCTTCAGTTACCCCAGCATACTCCCATGCTGAAGAAAATTTGAGAAATAAAAGTGAGAAATTCACAAGTGATGAAACAGAATGGATCAGAGGATGCCGAATATAAAGCAATTTCTTGGAAAACGCTAAGCATCGGGAGTTGAAAACTTCAACGAATTATAATTATAAAAAGATTTCATTCTCGATTCGTTTAGACTATACCTATAGAAATTATATATTTTCATGTTGTTTTCATACATAAAAAAATAATAAACATCAAAAAATTGCATGCAGTAACATCAAAACATGCAAATTTTGTGCAAAATAACACAGTGTCAAAAGAACATCCTTTCCACGATTTGAAAATCTGTCTTGGATTACGTTGCAGTCAGAGTTCACAATACAAAGATAAAATTGCATTGGAATCTGGCCTTTAGTTATTAGTGTTCATTTGACTTAAAATTCCTTTAATTTCAGCTCGCAGTGTGTTGTGTACAGTGTCGATGAAACAACCGGAGGATTAATCGTATCGCACCATCTCATCATCCCGGGTCAAGTTTTTCCAGGTAATATCGGACCGGTTCATTGTATGAGATGGTCCCCAGATGCATGCGCACTAGCCGTAGCTTGGTCGTCTGGAGGTATATCGCTATGGAGCACATTTGGATCGCTGTTAATGTGTACATTATCCTGGGATTATGGCTTAAATTTTGATTTATCGCTTCAAAATCCATTAAAAATACATGCGATGGTACAATTAGTTTATATATATCTATGCACGTAAATCTGAATATTATGTTTTATTTATGGCTTTCAGGAATGGTCAGCTGAGGGTTATCAGTTATGGATGGCTAAGAAGACATCCGTAGCGGACAATGAATTTGAAGATAGCGTAATACAGCTTAATTTTGTCAAAAGTGCCTTAACTGTCAACCCCTGTATGGTAAATTATTTATATTGAGCATTTTGTTTGTAATAATAGGGATGTAAAATAAAGATTATTAATCAACTTTCATTTTAGAGCCATCAAAATCATCTGTACCTGCAAGGGGAAGACCGACTGTATGTAAATTTAGGTGTTGGACTATCGCAGGTTTATAATATTTTAAACAAAACCGTGCCTAGTGGAAGGGATTCGCCATTACCGTTTACATCTGCACTTGTAGATTCTAAACAGTGGATTGTTGTACAGATTCCGTCAGCCTATTCCTCAATAAACTGGCCGATTCGGGTATGCACTGATTTAATCCTTCAATTATTTCCCTTTGTTTTTTAAGCATGAAAAATGCATAATAATGTGCAATATTAAGCCTATTTAAAGAACAGTTACAGTTTTTTTTTTTAGCATTAATAGCTTATTTATGTTGCAGTACACTGCTATAAATGCAAGTGGCGACAAGCTAGTTGTAGCCGGCAAGGCCGGTTTAGCCCATTATTCATTGAGCAATCAGAAATGGAAGCTTTTTGGAAATGAAACCCAAGAGAAAGACATGATTGTGACAGGGGGTTTGTTGTGGTGGAAAGAGTACGTTGTCGCCGGTTGTTACAACATACCGGAACAAAAGGATGAACTTAGGCTTTACCCGAGTTGTGCGAGACTCTCTAATATCCACATGACATGCCACACCTTGCAAGGGCAGGTTTTGCTGCTCGATTCCCTCGAAGATTCCGTTTTAGTGTTTTGCGCCGATGGTCGAATTACAATTTACAATTTGATTGAGGACAGAAAAGTTGAAAACGGTCAGTTGTTTAGTACAAATTGTTAGAAATTGTTACTATTTTCGCTTATTTCGTTTTGTTTTGTAGGTTCAAATATTACCCTGAGAAAAGTGCAAACAATCGATCTTTCTGCTTTGTGTGTCCATCCAGCTTGTTTCGTTTCTTTAACTTTAACTTCCTTACGAATAGAGCCTACTAGATCAAATCCAGCCAAGAAAAATAATTTTGCAATCAATGTTTCAGGAAGATTACTCATGGTCTATCAGCAAGATGAAGATAACGTAAGTGTTTAGTTTAAATCTGATTACCCATTGTTATTTGCTACAAATTGATAATGGTTAATAAAAATTACAAAAATGATAAAACAAAACAATTTAAAAAACAAAAATTAACATAAAGTAAAAAAAAGAAAATTAAATTCATCAATGCATAAATTATAATTAATCAAAATACAAGACAAATTTACTAAATGGTCTAATAATAGAAACAGTTATAGGATGTTTCATCAATCAGTGATGTTGTGGCACTGACACTGTAGTAGTAAAAAGTGATTCAAAAGCCAATGTACTAGCTTCTCTCTCTAGTCTAGGACTCTATTGTCTGCTTGCAGTGATTTTGCCCTAATCTAATCTGGGTCTGAGTCAATGCTGAACAAATCCCAATGATAAGATTGTTTTAAAGATTGCAATTTACACCCCAGCATCATCATAAATTGGATATAAAGATTGTTTTAAACTACCACAACAATGTAATTAATACATGATTATTTATTTCAGTCACAGGTTCTTCAGGCACCGACTGTTTTAGCATCGTGTGTTGAGAATGTTTGGTCGCCAAGAAAATTCTGTAAAGGTAAACCCCATTTGACAGAAGCTCTTTGGCTGTTTTGTGGCGCTCATGGCATGAGGGTTTGGCTGCCTTTGTTCCCCAGGCATGGCGATAACGCCCATACGTTCATGTCAAAACGTATTATGTTACCTTTCCAGTTAAAAATCTATCCTTTAGGTAAGCTGTGTGAAATATATAATTTATTTTTCAATAATTTGTTCAATTGTCAATTTCAGCTATATTATTCGAGGATGCGATCATTTTGGGTGCTGAAAATGATACCATTCTTTACACATCTGATGCTAATTCGCCTTTTTCTCTACCGTTTTGTGTTCTCGAACGAACTGTAAGTACATGAATTTCATACTTTTGTCTTTCTTTATAAACAGCTAGATCTAGACTGACAGTATGTGGCAGTCTATTTGTCAGTAGCAATAATTCTTAATAACAGCCCTATCTGAGCCTAAATCTCTACCAGAAAGATGATACCACAAGAATAAGATATTGTATTTTGTGCCCCAGTCATAATATTCTTACATCATCCTACAGATACTACTACCCTAGATGATACTAGTTTGGAAAGTATTAGACATGTAGAGCATTCTTGCAAATAGCCCTACAAGCCAAGAAAATTGTTTAAAAATTAATTTTAGCAATTATTTGGAGATCGTGAGATGTGGTTTGGTGTGATGTAGGTTTTTTTTTGCAATCATATATATGTTGTTTTACCCTCTTATCCAGATATTAGGATGTAATTCTGATGTAAGTTGCCAGACAATTTAAACAATTGATTTTGTAAATTACATCAGTCTTATTTGTTACCAGTGTGAGATGCTTAATTTTGGATTAATTTTAGTACATTTTAAAAACTATGGTTCTCTGCCTTTGTTGTTGTTTTTTTCAATGTTATTTTGAATAAATGAATGTGTGTTTTTACATAGGATAAGAAAATAATATGCCTAATTGTACTAAATGAGGTTAGATAACCTCTTATCCATCCCTACCCAGAACCCTAACTCTACCCAGAATCCTAACCCTATTCCTATTCCTTCCCCCAAATTGTAAACCCCGACCCATCCCAGCACCCTAACCCCTAGCCCTCTACCCTATCCAGAATCCTAACCCTTGATTCTAACATTAACCGTACCCATATAAACTAGAATTCTAACCATATAAAAAGTTTCAAAACTCAAGAGCCGCTTAAAGTGAATTAGGCCAAAGTGATTTGTTCTTGAAAAAAACAAAAAACAATTAGGATTCGTTTTAATCACTCTTTAAGGTTTTAAAGCCCTTAAATACAACTTTTTATAGGAAACAAAAAAATAGTAATTTTTAGGCTTGATTCGCCGAAGCCAATTTTTTCTCTCTCTGTGATGCTCGGAGTTCCACTTAAAAATTCATAACTCTTCTGTATTTTATCCAAATTCAACATTATTACAATTCACTAGTTTCGGGGTCTGCTTGAAAAATGGCAAAATGGAGGGAAAATTCAAAAGGTGTGGTTGAGACAGGAAGTTGGTGTCCGAGTGGATCGAGGTCACGATAGCTCAAGTGGTAGAGCAGCGGTGTATCAAGCCTAAGATCGTGGGTTCTAATCCCGCTCGTGCCATTGACTTTTTTATCTCAACTGAAAACGTTAATTAATTGTAAAATTATTACAATTGTTTGAAAGGTTAATTTCTTATATTTTTTTCAGCCTATGTTAACAATCTTTAGATTTTATGTCATCATAAATGAGAAAAATATGTATGAAATCAACCAAACCTCCTTAAACCTTAAACATTTTATTTTATATGCTTGGTTCTGATTTATTCACAGATGTCATATTTTAACCATTGCGTATAGTTAATAGGTCTCTAAATGCTTGTAAAGTTTCCTGTAGATCAGTGGAGTCTTTTCAAACATTTTTAGTTATTTTGGTCACTTTCAACTTTTTTGTGCTTTTCAAAAAAAAAAAAAAAAAATCTGATCAAAAAACAGTTAAGATTCATTTTAAACACCATGTAAAACCATTAAATAATAATTTTCATCAAATAAAAAAATAATATTTTAGAGCAGGATTTGCCGATTAATTTTTTGTTTCTGATTGTCTGGACTTAAAAATTCAAAACTCCCATGGGTTTAATCCAAATTCGACATTATTGTGGTTGTTAGAAAGCATGATTTCTATTCTTTAAGTTTGTATCAACAAGACTTAGATTTTGTCATTATTAGCTAAAAAAAATAAGGATGAAATCAACAAAAATTCCATAAACATTTTTTTTTTTAACTTCAGCTCTAATTTATTTATGGAGGAGCTGATCCCAATTTAAACAATTGATTTTGTAAATTACATCATACTTATTTGTTACCGGTGTGGGATCATTAATTTTGGATTAATTTTAGTACATTTTAAAAACTATGTAACTGTTCTGTAGGATATAGAACAAAACATTTAAAAAGTCCTATTTAAATTGTACTCTGGTATTATTCTTCATTCGTCTTTTTCTCATTTCATTGATAATGATTTAAGACTACTTAGAATGATTTGTTCAATTTAGTATCTGTCTTTTTGGTATTTTTAATTAATTTTATTCTGTGGTAATATTGTAAAAAATTAAAGTTTTTGTTTCCTACCAGAGTCAAGTTTATCTACATCACATTTTGAGACAGTTGATTCGTCGAAACCTCGGATTTCATGCCTGGGAGATAGCGAGGTGTTGTACATCTCTTCCATACTTTCCACATTCTTTGGAACTGTTGCTTCATGAGGTAATTTTTTTTTTCACTTTAACCTTTGCTTTTCATTTTCCATTAGTGTTATTGTACGTTTCAAATTTTTTATAGGTCTTAGAGGAAGAGGCCACGAGCAAAGAACCGATACCTGACGCCCAGTTACCCAGCGTTGTTGAATTCATTCAGGAGTTTCCAGTTTATCTAGATACAGTCGTCCGCTGTGCCAGGAAAACAGAAATCGCCCTTTGGCCTTACCTATTCTCTGTAGCTGGCAAGCCTACACAGCTATTTCAGCAGTGTTTATCAAAAAATTTATTAGAAACTGCTGCATCTTATCTCATCATTTTACAAGTGATTGTCATTTTTTTTACCTTATTAGTGTTTTTTTTTTAAATTATTTTCATTTAATAGAATCTGGAATCATCTGCCATAAGTCGGCAGTATGCTACAATGCTCCTTGACTCAACGCTTTCCAACTGTAAATGGGAATTGTCAAAGGAATTGGTTCGTTTTTTAAAAGCAATAGGTAATTTCATTTTGATTTCAAACATTTTGATTTAATATATGATACCGTAAGTTGAATAAAGTATCACATATTTGCTGTTCAAACTTTTTAAAGATCCAAATGATGTGGAATGTGTGAGGAGTCCACCATTGATGGTCGCATCAAATTGTAGAATTCCTCAAACACCTCCCGTGAATGGAAACGAAGAAGACTTATCACTTGTTCTCGGAACGACTCAAGTTAGTTTTGTACTACGGTATCAAACTCGACTTTGTTTATCCTGTAAATTTATAGGTTTCAAGAGGGCGAAGTTTCAGCACGTCCACAAACCCAAAAATTGTAAACGTTGAAAAACCAACAGGACCACAATCAAGATCGTCTGTTACGGAATCATCAGCCATGAAAAGAAAGAAATCCGTACCTACACCTAAAGTGGAAACTCGGTAAGTTTGAAGTCAATAATTTTCATATTTCAAATCGAATTAATTCGTTTAATTTTGACTTTTTAAAGGGATAATAGCAAGTCGGCTGAAGAATTTTTCATGGATGTTATGATAGAAAGGCACGCACGAAGATTGTTGTCTAATCATAGGCTTAATGATTTGGGTTCGATGGCGGCTAATCTGGATTTTCCATTGGTTCGTTGGTTGGCAAGGGAAAGACACAGAGCAGCTGTTGTTGACAGTTGTACCAGAGCACTGAAAGACTTACATGCAGATTTCGTTTGGCCTTATCCCACTCTCTGCTCTGGTTCTGGCCAATTCTATACAGGTTTGTTTTATTACTTAATAATTCTTAATAATTAAGATTTGATTTATTTAATTTTTTAATATCCGAATACTGTTAAACCATCTACATCACTTGGGAATGGGATTTCAGCTTAAATAAAAAGGGTCCACAAACACCAGGTGTCCTGTGAACAGAGGTCAATGAAGTTATTCTACATGTCAAATTGGACTTAAAAAGTCCCTATTGTGTAAAGTCCATTGTAATCGAGATATTTCACTTTTCAGGTTACTTCAACTTTTCACAACTTTATTCCATAAAGTCCAAATTGTGGGGATTCATAACTGAGCTGTTAGCTCGATAGACTCTTAGCTCATTGACACACGCACGCACACACGCACGCACGCATGCACGCACGCGCACACACACACACACACACACACACACACACACACACTTGACATAGTACTTAAAGCCTATAAAAAAAAGGCACAAAATATCTCATAAAATCTTATTCCTACCGTAAAATTTATTACATCAATAGAACAAGTATTGAAAATGTAATGAGTTTTTTTTTTAATTTTAATCTTAGACATACAAAATCACTAAGAACATAAACTTTCACAAATTTCCAAAGATTTCTAAAGTTTGAGTAAGATTTTCTTGGTTCTGTAAATACTTACAGCTATAGTACTTATAAGCGTTAAACACATTACTTAATTTCTCAGTGGTCAGTTAGTAATTTAAAATCAGCGTTTAATTACTAAAAATTTGAGTTAGGCGGGATCAAGACAATCAATTATATTGTACAATATTATGAATTGTGCAGTATTTTTGACCTTTTAGAGTTAGCATTGAAGTTTACTCAATGATTGAACAAAAGTTTGTGCGAGTTTATTTTTTATTGCACCGTATAGGGTTAATATTGTGCAATATCTGACATCTTGCAACACTAAGTCTTGCTCATGCAAAAGCATTGGTGCTTATGGGCCATCAATACTATGTATTTATTTAAATCATACATGCTTGTTCCCCTGTGTACTTTAAACACATGTACTTAATATTTCAAAGTTCAATTATCAGCAATTAATGTTAAATTGCTAAAAATTTGTTCCTTAAAAAACTGGTTCTTAAGATTTTTATTAAAATTTTTAACTTTAAACTTTTATTAAAATATAATAACTAATATAAAATGTAAAAAAAGCTATTTGGTACAAAATTGAGCATAAGAAAAAAAAACCCTTTGAATTAAGAGATTGTTAAAAAGTTGCAAGATATCAGATATACAAGTATTAATTATAACAACCTTATAACGGTGCAATAAAAATTAAACTTTCCCAAACTTTTGTTCAATCATTGAGCAAACTTCAATACTAATTCTAAACTGTCAAAAATATTGTGCAATATAATGGATCGTCGTGGTCCCGTCTAACTGAAAAATCAAACTTTTTGCAATTAAATGCTAATTTTACACTGGTCATAGCTGACCATTGAGAAATTAAGTATTTGTGTTTAGTAAATTTAGTAAATGCTCATTAGTAAATCCATCTTCGTCCAAGCCAGTATTTACAGAAACAAGATATCTTACTTAAACTTTAGACAAGAACATTGGAAACTCACTAAAGTTTATCTTCTAAGTGATTTTGTATGTTGTTTGCTGAAGCTTAAAATACAGAAAAACTAATGAACTTCAATGTTCTTTCCATTGGTATCATCAAGTTTACAGTAGGATTATCATTTTAATAGATACAAGGGACTTCAGTAATAAAGTTGTGAAAAGCTGAAGTTAACTGAACAGAGAAATATCTTGGATACAATTTAGAATCAGAATTTAGATGAGACATTTCAATTTGACATGTAGAATAATCTTGTTAAGTATTGACTCTGTTCATGGGACACCTGGCAGAAATAAGGCCCATTAAATAGTAAAAAATTAATTTGAAAAGGCATCCATGCTTGGACACTAATTTTCTCTTCATCATGGTTTGTCTCGACATTTTCTCTGAGAGAAAGAGTGTTTCGCACTCATCTCCAAATTGGTTTGTCACAATCTGAGAACTAACTAGTTAACTGACTTGTAAGTACCAAAAGTGAAAGGATTGTCCGCGGTGAGATAATTCCTGAAATATTACTGTTTGCAAGTAATACACAAAGAATCATCTAACATTCATGGAATCATGTTTTTTCTGCTGCCCATTTAAAAAAGATTTTTTCATTGAAAAACATACAAATGTAGTGGCCACATCTGGTTATTAGAAGTTTCTGTCTGTTTGTTCAAAATACTTTTATATATTCTCATAGAACTAACTAGGAAAAGTACAATAAGGCTGCAGTGCTTGGAATACCAAAACCCCACTTTCTACTCATTAATTGCTAAAAATTATTTGTGACAGTTTTGATTATTTATATCTTAATTGCTGTCTTCTATCCTAGTTTTGTTACAATGATAATTATTACTGCTTGTTTGTAGACAAGGACCGAGCTAGCATTAGTGATATAACTGAACATTCAAGCCAGGTTGGTGACAGTGGTTATACCAGTTACCAAGGGTTACGACTTTCATCTGATCAACATCAATTTCATCAACAAATCGGTATATATATATTTTTTTTTTTTTGAAAATTGAGTTTTATCTTATATGATATACATTTTTAGACGAAAGAAGCATGGTGAGTGAACCGGATAGTTGGTTTTATAGTGAAGAAAGTGAGTGTGCTAATGGTTTTCCTTGGAGTGATATACCTTCACCCCAACTTCTCGATCATCTGTCTCGTCAAGTCACCACAAAGGGTTCACCAAAAGCAGACATTCAATTGAGGTGAAGTTCGTAAAAGTTGATAGCTTCGATATTTTTTTGTAATAATGTTTATTTTTATAGATACCTTCTTCAGCTTTTAACTGATGCAGGGTGTTTACAATGGGCCCTTTTAGTTTCAATACTTCTACGAGATGCCATGGCGGTGTATAGGTTAGTAAACTCTGCGAGGTCTCCTGATCAGAATTACGAAGCTGTGAATAAATTAAGGGAAGACATTATCACGCTTTCCCATTGGGCTAACACGGAGTGGTATGTTTTACATATAAATTTTCAGTTAAATTAGTTCACTGAAGTCTAAAGCCCATAAACATATTTTAGTCTAGGCTATAAACCCTTTATGACAGCAATTCAGGGCCAGGCAAATATTTTAACAAAGGTCTTGTCAACGAAACAGAAAAACAGTACAACGTACGCTGAACCACTTCGGAACACTCCAACGATGGTAGCTCCCCCTCAAGAACAAATATCATGCACAGGCCATTTGCCAAACAACAGTGACGACAGTTTCCAGAAAATAAGAAACGATGAATCACCAACTCCTTCGATAAATGTTCAGTTAAAGGAAAAATCATCTTGTGTTATATCGTGATGGTATTTTCATATTAATGTTCTAATAGGTTACTCAATAAAAATGCCTTATCTTAAATATAAGCAATATATATTATATATAATACATACAGTTTAAAACATTTATAATAGATTTGTATTGTGGCCTTGACAATCAGGCCATTATTATAAGCTTATCAAAGATAATTATGTAATAAAAATTGCTCAGTAATTGCTTAACATTTTGTCATAATAGACAAGGCTGTGATATCATAAGCTTTCAAAAAAACTGATGGAACATAATAAAAGCATGAAAAATTAAAAACCTTATATTTATTAGTCATATTTTATTTTTATTTATTTAAAATTTACCATATAGATATTTATAAATAATTATAAGCGTGTATTTTTGTTTAATTTTTTATTTTAAAGCTGTTTTTAAGATTAAGCCATTCTAGGAAATTTATTATATTGTTTTTTGTTTGTTTTTTTAAAGAAAAAGTAATTATTTTTGTTAAATTGTTAATAATTGAAACAGTCTATTTATATCGTGTATATTTGACATAAGGGGATGATAATTACCTGATCTATAATTTAAAATACCAATAGTACTTTGGTTTTAGTATAAGATAACTCATAGATCTAAATTTTTGCATTTTCCAGTCAGCGTGAAATTAACATTTTTTTTTTCATTTATTTGACCGCTTGGTCATCGAGTTATTGGATTTTGTTCCAACAAGGGGTGCGTCATCCTGATCAGAAAGAAAATATTTCGTGGTCAGTCGTACAACTTGCCAGCTTTTTATATAAATTGTTTTCATAACAAATAAACAAGATTAATAAAGACAAATTAATATAGGGTTAACATTGAAAAATGGAATTTAATAAAACAAAAAAGCTTGTTTTATTATTCCAAAAGAAAATTACTTGGACAAAATATACAGTTAAAATTATTAGTGTGTGTGTTATTAAGTAGGAAATGTACAATTTCCAGATCAGATAATCAAATCATTAAGTAAGACTTTATTACTCAATTTATGTATAGTTTAATTATGATATATGCTAGAGAAGGTTTACCCATAAAAACAGCTTAGTTACACATATTTTTATTTTCCATTGTAAGGTTAAGGTGCCATATGCAAATCTTCCAGAAACCCTGGTCTCAATTACAAATACGAATCAAAACTGTTTCAAAAGTCAGATAATTAATTTTATATAAGAGGTTTGTAGCATTTTGTAATTTTTACCCGTCATTTTTTTTTATTGACATGCTTACATTAAACATAAATTTAAATAAATTAAAAAAAAAACATTTTTACATTTATTAAAATAATAACGGGAATGTTTGTACATGACAAAATTAAAATAATTGCTTCAAACTAGAATACAGTTTTTCCATAGAAATTAACCCATTTAAACACTCACAGGGGATTTTTAAAAACTTATAACAATAGTGGGTTTAAACGGGTTTAAATATGAGTTAAAATTAATTACATGTGTCATTAGATAATCGTGATAAAGTTTGTAATATTTTTATGAACAACAGGTAAAATTATTGTAGCTAGCCGTTAATTAGTCAATTATTTATCAATATAGGTAATGCATTATATTAATAATGTGCAATTGTACCGTAAATAATAAAAAAGTGAGATTATCTCCAAATCGCACGCAATCAAAGCAATAAAAATAATAAAATTGACTTATGATATTCCAAGACTTTTGACATGGTCTTGGTAATTTAGAAAAATTTATATTACGGTTAACATTCTTGAAATAAAATTTCTGTCAAAATATTTTGTTATTTATATATGTAATTTGAAAATATTAACGTATCGTTCAAATTGCAATATTTCAATGTGTTACCACACACATAGTTGTAAATATTTCCCCCCTTTAACACAAAGGAAACAGGACTTAGTTTAAACATGACAACTGTATTATTATTTATTTATTTAATAGTTTGTGGTGTACTCATTCCATCCGATTATGTAGGGTTTATACAGTTCTGAAAAAAGTATAATAAATGATTCAAAATAAGACAGCAGACAGGCATTTGAGTGAATGTTTCCTTACTAACTTTGTTGTTTTTGATATCTCTTGAGAAATGTTAATTTAAGTCGAATAAGAGATGTGAAAATGGCATAATTAGATGTTACAGAAATTCTTCCTATTTTGTCAGTTAGTCTTTTTTTTTGCCTTATGATTGTTAACTTGCTAAATTTGGAATAATTAATTTTGTAATGTGTCACACGAATACAAATCTTTCTTAAATAAATAGTGCCATTCATACACCAGGAAACTTGTTTAGGAATTTTCCCCCAGCAATGAACGATAACTATGGTTGATAAAGCAATAATTATAATAATGTGCCTTTTGAGTATCGGTGTGTTTGTAAAGAATACAGACATGTGTATGTTAGACAATAGTTTTAGCGTTTTTCCTTAAAATTGAAACAATTTAGTTTACCAAAATGCCAAATACTGTTATTACAATATCAAGGGTTATATATTTAATAATTTAATTGTCAAAAATGAAAAAAAACCATTCCTCGTTGCAGTATTACTCTTGCATATTGAAGTTGTTAAAACATTTGTGTACAAATTACAAATCAAATTTTATAACTTAGAATAAATAAAATGTTTTTACTATTCCATCGATATTTTATTTAATCCCATCCTTACTTAATGTATCCCAATTTGCAAAGGCAAAGCAAAATCCACAATTGACAAGACCCTGAGGTACAGAGAGCTAGCAGTGGGATAAAGAAAAGGGAGAGTTGGTTCCATTATATCTAACTAGGCTGGGAAAACAGTAACAAAAATTAATAGGTATAAAATGTGAGAAAGAAAAGTAAAGAAATGCAAAGCTATGAAAGAAGAGCTGGCGATAACCAATGTAGTTTGGTGGCATTAAAATTTAAAAATAAAACAAAATAATAAAAATATTGCAAAGGATATCACCTATTCAGTACTTCTACATATTTCAATCGGATAAGAGAGCAAAATGGAAGGTTGCATTACATTTTATGACTAAATTAGAGAAAAAAAATTCCTCCTTTGGCAGACAAGATCTTAAAAGTTTAAACAAATGCGCCTGACAGGATTATGACACTGGTTTACAGGGGAGATTAGTGTATAAGTCAAGGTACCCTGATATCAAAAATACCTTGGTTTCAAAATTATAGGACTTCTCGACAGTTTTATTCCACTATTACAAGAATAAGGACCAATCGTGGATTGTGGTGCGTGCATAAATATAGAACAAGTTTAAGAGAAACTCCGAACTGCACGACCTGTGATTGCACAGAAGATTTGACTCATATTGTAACGGAATGTCCAGGATGAAGGAAAAAGACAAATGCTTTTTGATAAAATTCAGTCATTGGAGGGTGTAGAAAGACCATTTAGTTTCGAATCCCTGGTCTCAATGAGTAGGGGTGCTATCTACAACTTGCTGTTCAGATTTATTAAGAAGTGCAATATTGATGTGTAACCTGGTTAGATGCTAGTGTACAATCCATTGGGTTGGGCCAGGGGGGGATCTGGTGCTGGGGCCTGGTCGGGGCGGTGGATAGGGCGATTAGGCACGAGGACGTGGACTTTTCCATATCTAGATGTTTGGTTTTTGTCCATGTCTTCCAATGAGGTGGAAGTTAAAAATGCAAAAGATAAAGAAGTAAAATAATTTTTTTACGCTTCCATTCTTGCCGGCTGTGGCCTGTCGGGGTTGGGATCCGGTCACTGGGTCTTTGTTTTCCCTCCTCCCGGGCTTGGCGGGCGCACTCATGTTGCTGGGGCATGGGTGATATGAAATCGTACCCCCCCAAAAAAAAAAAAAGTTTAATCCAAATAAATATCTCCTCCAAAGCTCTCCATAAATAAACTAAAAACCTCACATATCACATTATCTTCGATTTAATTAGTGATCATATTTTCACATATAACTATATATTATAGAAATATGTATGGAAAACTTTGATTTAGAACTAGCTGGCGTTGCCTGGGGGATAATAAAGTTTTATTTTACACATTTCCTAGATACTCAAAAAATCATTCCTTCTCATCAATTCGGCTTCCGTCCTCATCATTCCATGTTACAACAAGGTTTCAGAGTTGTTGACACTATCTCTTCTCTAGAGAAAAAAAGAATATTGCTTGGGTGCATTCCTATATGGAGTCACAGGCTTTTGATATGGTCTGGCAGCTGGGCATGCTTTAACTTATAACACTTCCTACCTACTCCTTATTACCTTATCCTGAACTATTATCTAACAGACTGCTGTTTCTGAGTGAGGTGCAGCAACTAGTTTTTGGAAGTCAGACTGATACAAGCTGGGGTCCCACAGGGGAGCTTTCTTGATCCCATCTTTTATATTATTTATACTGCCAACCTACCTATCGGACGATACTGCAATTTAGTCCTCTAGCTCTAATCCTATCCAAACTACCTCCACCATCCAGAAAAATGTACTTGGTGTAAGTTCACATCGAAAAAACAGTCTTGCCTTCCACTGTAAACCAACAACAAAAAGATACAGACTTCATTCAAGTCAAATACTTAGGAGGTCTATACCTAGACAGCAGACATGGAACTACAACACAAGATTTAACAGAAGACTTGGACTATTATGAAGACTTCTAGGACTGAAATCTGCCTTGACAATCAACACTAAACTAACCTTACAAGAAGACTTTACAGCGACTGCTTTAGACATACGGAGTGGAACTGTGGGGTTCTGCTAAGCCATTCAACATCTAGTGCATCCAATCCTTACAATCAAGTCCTCAGACAAATCGTCAAAACTCCTTGCTACGTACTAACCTCAATATCCATGACGTTAACATTCCTTTTGTCAAACTGATCCTTTCCCGATTCCAAGTTTCAAAACTGCTCAAGCCCTCTCTAAACATTCCCATCTCGAGGACCTGCTTTAATCAACAATGGCCTTTTGACCACCTTGCCCCTTAATCCCTCACAGTGAGTGCCAACATTGGCTGGTTTCTTATGGCATGTGTGCCCCAGGTGCAGTGCTGGTATTAGGGTTAATAATGATACAACCACGTGAAAAAATTTGGTGATTACATTTTTAATAGTAATACATATGTACAGGGCACAGTAGAGTCGTTATCCGCAGGGGATACATACCACGTTTCATCGCAGAAAACAAGAAATAGGAAACACTTTGAATTTGAGGCTTCATAGCATTTTCTTCCATCTGCATACCATTACACATTTTCTGTATCGCGTGTGCCATTGTCAATGTTATGTATGAAGTTTTGCACACAAATCGTTGCTTTGACGATTTTTTTTTTAACCGCCAATCTGATACCATTGCTGTCATGATTAACATGAGTTCTATGGGAAAACTGGTTTAACTAATGGTGTGATAACCACACTGAACTGAGAAAAGGGAAATTAAACATGGCTCATGTTTGAACACCCCTTAAAAAGGGAAGAGTAACACACCTAAGATTAGGACATACTTACAGCTTACTAAGGATTTTTCAAAGCAAGCTCTGGCCAATTTCCAAAGCTGTCAATAACTATTAACAGTCAAGCACACCCTAAAGAATACTTTCAATTTGAGATGGGCATGAATACATGGTGAAATCTTCTGATGATAGAGAATCCCTTTAATTGCCTAAGGCTGGCTCATCAGTTATCTAAACTTTAGAAAACTTGGTAAATAGTTGCGTTTCCTTGGTAGAAGTTAAAGGTTGGTGAAAATGCAGACATTTTCTTAGGTTAATCTGTCGTCGTAAAAGCTTATTGGACCAATTAACTCATATCAACACCTATTATGTAAATGTAATTGAAAATAAAACAAAACTTAATTACATATCAGTTTTTACTTTTCTTCACGTAAAATTTGTCGAAATTACCAATTTTTACATATGTTGCCAAATATTTTAGTTTTTAAACAATTGTTCTAAATTACGTCATTTGAATTTTTAATTTTTCATGGTATACTTTCAGTTTCTGTTAGGTTAGGGAAATCTACATCTTCTTCATCATCTTCAGGATTCATATCGTATGATTCAGGCTCTTCAGACAGTAATTGACTCTGAAAAAATAGAAAAAAATATGCCATAAAGTTTATTTTTTATAAACCTCAATATAGTCCATAAATAAATTGCAACATATATTGTCACTATTGTTAATTATTTTTAAAGTTATAAACAGAGGAGGGAAAACTCATAAGGTGGGGTTGAGATGGGGAGTTGATGTCCAAGTGGATCGACGTCACGATAGCTCAGGTGGTAGAGCAGCGGCGTATCTAGCCGAAGGTCGTGGGTTTGAATCCCTCTCGTGCCATTAACTTTTTTTCATCTCAACTAAAAACCTTAATTAATTCTCATGTTATAAACAGAGATGTTTCTCTAATTACACATAAAATATTTACTGAAAACAAGAATGTCTCTATGTCATAAAACATTGAATAAATTAAAGAAAATTAACCTGGTAATATGCACTTGGATAAGCGAGATAATAGTCATTTATTTCCTGCTGGCTGGCCAATGGTCCTATGACAATCTGACAGAAGCAAAAAATAAAACAAAATTATATAATCAAGTTAAATATTTTTTTTCAATAAAGTATAATTTATAATGCTTTTACTAAAAACTATACTATTTTGATGTTGTAAAGTAACCTTGTACCAAGTGTACCACTTGTACTAAATTTATACCACACTATATTAATTTGTAATTTGGTCTTTACCGATCATTTTGGTTTGCCTATCCTCGGTGGAATGGTTAAAGACTGAATATGGTGAACGACAGATGATGATGCTGCGAGACTAGGCAGACCAAAATGCTCGATAAAGGCCACATTAAACACCTCGCAAACCACTCGGAGAAATCTCATAATTTTACAAATCTTCTTGTGTACAAATAAAACAAATTTAGAATAATTTGGTTCCTGCTTGTGAAGTGAACACACGAAGATGGCGAAAGGCCAAAACGTTGGCCGACCCAGTGAGGATAGGCAGACCGAAATGACTTTTTTTACAATGGAAATTTTGCGATGAGGTTATATTAATTGGAATGAAGAAGTTGCATTTGTTTAAAGTTCATAATGACTAATAAGTAGGAGGATAAAACCTCAAGTTCAATATGACAATTATACAGAGGGGAATATATATATTTTTAAATTATTATAACATATATAAATAAAATTAGGTACAATGATAACAATATGGTTAGGTTAGAGACTTGTTGCAGTTAATTAAATGAAATTCATCCTAGTCAAAGGAAAAAAATATGTACAAATACAATGATGTATAACATATACTTAAGATATTGTATGCTAAAGTGAAATTGTTTTCTTCGTGTTGTCTTCTGAGTAATAAACTGAAATTTGGTTGATTACCGATCATTTCGGCCTGCCTTTCTTTGCATGGTTCATCTGTCAGACCACTGAAGATGGCAAAATGCCGATATGCATCTTGACAGACCAACCCAGCAATAGGCAGATCAACATGATCAGTTACGGCCAAATTAAAGTCCAAATGTTAAACAAAGAACGTAAATACTTTCTTAAAATATACACAATTTTTCCCCAATAGAAACCCAAATGGTTTCTAATGCAATAGAGGCTAATGTATTTATGATGAATGTACATATCTATTATTAACGGAGTAAAAATACATGAAAAAAAACACACACTACCTGGGGTTGGGTTTGAGAATTCCGGTGTAATGTAGTATATGGCAAAGTCTGGTCGAAATAATACTGAAAATTGTAATAATGTATATCTTAAACTCAAACTGTAAAATAAAAACTCGTAATTCACTTTTTAAATTACAAATATAATTAATAATTTATAGAAAAATTATGTGCTTATAAAATGAAGTGAAAAAATTAAAAATATATTGTAATGTTGTTCCATTAATTAATATTATTGTACAAAACCAAATGTGAAATTTTAAACTTGCACTGGGTCCGTTTATACTCATGGGTGTAGCTGGACCCAGTTCCAGTTCAACACGCAGACAAACATCCTCTATTAACTTTAATATAAAATGTACAACATGAAAGATTTTATGTTTTATTACCTGAGGTACTGGCTGAGATTGAGTAGCTTGGCGATTGGCAGTCGGTTGAGTCAAATTATACTGAAAAATGTGAATTTATTTTATTTGGCAGTTTGGCCATAACATTATTTAAAATTATATCATTAAATTACTAATTTATAATGAAAGACAATATGTAAATATTTATCACCTGTCCTTGTGAACCCCGGTGGAATGCAGAATATGAAAAAGGTTGATCAAAATAGTACTGAAATTTAATAAACAAATAAATTGCATTTTTATATGATTAGATGGGATAACATTTACCCCTTAATAACTCGATAAATAATTACATGTTGTATAGTAGACAAATTTATATTGTTTAATTAGGAATGGTTAACTTAAATATACCATCAAATTAAATTTCATCTTCTGGGTAATTGATTGTTTGAATTATAGATAAAATCAAAACAAGGAACGAACAAAATTAGATTAAAATTGTTTTAATAAACTTCTTGGGCTTTACTAAGCACCATTGTAATGAAGGTTGTAACATTAGTTCCTTTTTTTAATTTAATCTCACATTTCTGTTATAAAAAAACCCACATAATATATTCTTTCAATAAGATTAGAAAAGATATTACTACCTGGGGTACAGGCCGAGACTGTGAGGCTTGATTAAACGACCGGTTGGCAGTTGGCTGGCCAAAAGTATACTGAAAATGATTTGAGTGAATAAGTTTATTTATGAATTGATAATTAAACAAAGTATTCAATACAATCACTGAAAGTTTGATACTAAAAAATAAACAATAGTTGTGTATTAATTACTTCCACTTTGAAGGATTGAATTTTAAAGTGTTAATCCAAATTGAAGATTTTTATTTCATCCTTTTCTTTCTTTAAGTAATAATTGATTTCAGATAGATAAATCTTATGTTCCTAAACAAAAATATAAATATAAAATGAAATACCTGTCGCATAGGCTGACTCAGTTGATAAACAGTGCTGGGTGTCGACAAACCGAAACTACACTGAAATTTATTATCACAGTAAAATATGTTAAAGCTAAAATAGGCTTTAGGATTTTTTAAACATGGATATTTTCTGGGATGGATACACAATTTTTCCTTGGACGTTTATAAGGGGAGTACAAATGGGTTTGGTTAGGTTTGGTGGAGTTAAGGAAGGGTTAGATTAGATTAGGTAGTAAGGGATAGGTTTGGTTAGGTTAGTTAGAATTAGGTCAGGTAGAGTTAAGGATGGATTGGATTATATTAGGTTAGGGATGGGTTTGGCTAGGATAGATAGGGTTGGGAGTACTAAGAACGGTGTTCAATTAAGTTATTAAATGCTGGCGGCCAAGAATTTCCTTCCAAAATTAATGTCCGTTGTAATTGGGGCCTTTCTGCATTGAAGTGCTTGCAGCATAAGAATATGAGGTCCCATATCCGTGGTTCTTTAGAATTGTATGTGCGTGTACCTTCATCTACAATTTTAAAGTGTTTCAGAAATTTAGATGATTTTTTCACAATTTTTTCTTGGGGATTTTGGAAGGGAGTGTGCGTAGATTTGGTTAGATTAGGTAGAGTTAGGGATGGGTTATATAAGATTAGATAGAATTAAGGATAGTTTAGATTAGATTAGGTAGAGTTAGGGGATGGGTTAGATTTCATTAGGCAGGGTTATGGATGGGTTAGATTAGATAGAGTTAGGGATAGGTTAGGTAGTTACAGAAGGGTTAGGTTAGGTCAGGTAGGGTTGACTAAAGTCTAGGTTATGGTGTTCAATTAAATGGTGTCCAAGAATTTCCCTCCAATATTACTTGGCTTTTTTGCATTGAAGTACGTGCAACATAAGACTATGTGGTCCAATGAATATGCTTATTTAGTGTTCTATATGCACATATCTTTATACTACAATTTTAAAGCAATTCAGATACGACATTTTGTCCAAGAATCATCAGAACTTGTGCCATTTTCCGAGAATGCTTTATTGCTTTGTCCAATCATGATTTAATAGTAGGTAAGAATCTTTTTGTTTGTTCTACTTCAGTAGACTCAGCCCGCTGGGTTTAGGGTTAGAGATGGGTTAGGTTAAGTAGGGTCTGGGTTATGTATGAATTAGTTTATATAATAACAATGAGTGCGTATTTAACATGCAAATGCAAAGTTTTTTTGCAGTTTTCTTTAACACATTCGTTATGGCTCTGATTTGTAAAGACACTCCTGAGATAAGGAAAATATTTTAATTTTTTTTTTCAAAGAATCATAAAAAATTTTTAAAAGGTCAGATCAAAAAACGGTCTTCACAGTAATGTTGCTAGAGCAATACACACTGTGACACCGATTCAATTCCAAAAATACACCCAAAATCCTACATGCTTCGAAATGGGGTGTTCATATGGGATTACATTGTTCTCGAACGTTGTTCATATGGGGGGAGAGTTTAGGTTCAGTGTGTCGTTCCAAAACAATAGCCGTTACGAATGTGTTAAATGGCTATTTGTTTTTTAATTGTTCCTCTCACGAATTTCTTTCTATGAACACTTGTGTACAACTATTTTCAAAATTCATTGAAGATATAGAATTACAAGAGAATAAATAAATAAGTACAAATACATAACAGTTGCAATTTTAATACCTGAGGCACAGATCGAGTTTGACAAGCCTGACGAGGTGTGTTGGTTGAATTATACTGAAAATGGATTTTAATCAATGAATTTATCTCATATCTTTTGTTTCATTTTATTGGTTTTCCTCGATAATAAAAAAAAATTAAAAATTGTATTACCTGTGGTACTGACTGAGCTTGTGAACCCCGTAGCAAGGAAGAGTATAACAAAGGTGTTTCAAAATAATACTGGAAAAAAAATATTAAACAATTTGTATTTTCCATCATAAAAAAAAAAAATGACTATTACACCATCACAAATAAAAATTCAACGAGCAGTTCTGATAACCGGGCATCCTCATGATGAAACGAATTTATTTTTGCCTACATCATTCCATTTAGTTTACTAAGAAAATTAATTCTAATAAATAACTAGAGACGTTTGTAGATTTTTCAATGTAAAAGGCTCTTATAAGCAGGCAACAGAAAGAAATACGCATTGGTGCTTCAGTTATTTTTCATTTATTCAGTTAGTCAGCTCTCAAATTGAGATTGTGACAAACCGATTCTGAGATGAGTGCGAAAAAAAAATTCTACTGATCAGAGAAAACTTGAAGCTGTTCAAGTCCATAAGAAAGAGAAAATTAGTGTCCGACCTTGTACATACATTCACCCATTAGAATTTAATTCATTTTTTACTTCCACTTAATTTACCTAATAATTTTTCTTAATTTAATGTGAGCTCTTCTAATAAGCAGACAAAATCTCATTTCTAGGTGGTGTCATCTGCTGCTTATGGGAAGTTCGACTATATTAATATCATCTCATTGAGTTAATTTGTCGATTGATTGAACAAAAAAATTTTTTTTTGCATCAAGATCATTCAAATTGATTGTTATTTATGTCATAAAAAGCGGATTATTTAATTACTATTTAAATGTTTCATTACCTGAGGCGCTGTCTGAGGGGATGAAGTAGTCTGCTGAAAAGGTCGACTCGGCGTAGATTGGCCAAAAGTATACTGATAAAAGACATTTCGAAATAAACACAATTATTGGATTTTATTAAATACATAACAATTAAGCAATTTTTGGTACAAGATAGTTAATGTTTTAATACCTGTGGGATCGTCTGAGCTTGGGATCCTCGGGGGAAGGTTGAGTAGGTGAAAGGTTGGTCGAAATAATACTGAAATTTTAACATAAATTTATCAGTAATAGTCCTTACTGTTCTTTTCCTTTCTGTCATGACACTTTTTTTATTACCTGTGATAACGGCCGAGATTGAAAGGCACGACTGGATGCAGCTTGACCGAAATGATACTGGAATAAAAATAAAACTTGAGATTATTTTAATTAGATAACACAATTTGTTTCTTTTAATATAGAAACTAATGGATAATTCAACAGTAAAACTTTAAAGTACTGCCTGTCAATTCTTGTAGGTATTAATAAATTCATAACAATTGCGCTTTATGGTAAATTAAGTCTAACCTAACTAGTCATTATTTCAACGATTTTTTATTTCTTTCAACGAATTTCAAATAAATAACATTGATTATTATAAAAATATAAATGTAAATAATTACCTGTGGCTGGGGCTGGCTTCGGCCATCGGCCGTATGGGATGTAGACATACCAAAATTGTACTACAAACATAGTGTAATTAATTATTTTAAAAAAAACGTAGGGTAGATATTAGGGTATTTTGCAATTGATAATAGGATCACACATGGTATCTTTTAGGGGGGGGGGGATGTATAAAATGTAAAAATTTCTGATATGTAGAGCCTATATTTGAGATGAAAATTGTGATAAAATACATTGAATAGTTGAAAGAAAATTTGTACAAATAAGATTGTTTCGTTTATACCTGAGGACATGGTATAGAATTTGCTGTTTGATTAATCAAATGACTACAGCTCGCTGGAGCTGAGCTATACTGTTGAAATGCTTGATCCATATCAATATCACTACTCTACAACAAACATACCACACCTAAGTGCCAATCTTATTCATGCTCATGTTTTATTTTTCATTTTATTTATTTATTTATTTGTGTATGTACTGTCATGACAAATTGTAAAATAGAACCACCCAAATTTACATTACACTATAAGAGACTTGTATAATTTTCAAAATTGGCCTTTCAACTGGTAAGTCTTACCTCAAACGTCGACACCAATGGTGGAGAATCAGCTAAAATTGATGAAAGAATTTCAGGTAGTTCATCTCTGTGCGCAACGCTATAGTGTTCGAACCATTCTTCCAACTGAAAATAAATTAAAAGTAAAATACTAAATTCTTTGACACAACGATAAATTATCATGAATTCGAATGAATCATCCATTCTTCTTCATTTATTTCATTTACAAAATTTTTGAACTAAAAAAAAAAAAACTAACTTACCGTATCAGGGAAATGTGTTAACTTATGATTATGCTCTGAAGAAGAACTGCTTACAGACCCGTCTTCAAGCTCTCTTGAACGGAAACGTCTGCTTCTAAATGCTCGGTACTTCTGAAGAAAAAAGAAGTTTTTTATTTTTATTTTATAGTTTTCATGTTTGCAAGAAATAAATTACTTTAAATTATTGCAAAATAATAATAAAAATAAAATTGCTTTTGCTCAGAAAAAAATCCATTATAAATGATAAAGAGTTTGCTGAAAAAATGTAAGATTATTAACCAGAATTTAAAACTAGAATAATATAAAGTTACTAATTAAAATACTTAAAAATACTTATATGATAGAATAAATCTTACTTTGGTAAAATAGCATGGTGGTGCTTGCCGGTCTAGACAACGACGTGCAGTCTGTTCTTCATTCTTTTTTGAATATAAGCGCGAACTGCGACCGTGATACTTCTACAATAACAAACAAAAAATATGACTTTTTACATGTTGTCCAGAACAGTAAAATAAAACGAAAATAAAATCCGAAATACAGTTTTTTTACCTTTGATTTGTGATACGAGTTCTGTTTTGGGATCGCTTTTTGGTCTTTGGTAAATAAATTTACAGTTGGTATTACTGTTAAATTCTGTTTCAAATCCTGAAACACATAAAACGACGAATTTAAAAGTTAAATTCCAACAAAAATTTCAGTACGGTAAAATATTTCACTTTTTGTCTTAACATGTTCAGCGCATGTGACCTGCATGAAAGCTACACTTGTTTCTAGGAATAGGAAATTTTTGCCTTCTGAGAGAATATATGAGGATATAGGCCACACTGAATGTGTTACGAGTGGTTTGAATTTTCCAAACTGAACTTTGTTTTATTAAATATCTATTAATCAAAATAATTGTTAACAGATAGGCTGGGGTAACCACTCATATTGTAATGGAAAGTGCAACTTCTCAAATATTAAATATGTTACAAATTGGTATTATATATCTCAAAGAAATGGTAATAAGTGTAAACAATTCAACTGAACCTTTTTCTTGTTTGAGATCCTTGGTGATGAAAATTCCTGCTTGGTAGGAAGTTCACTACGTTGCAAAACAAATTTTGTACTACTGGACTTTTGATATTTCTGTAAACAATGATAAAGCTTACACTACATCATGAAAATATAACAAACTTATAATAAAAGTAATTAATTTTAAAACTATTATACAACAATATAAACATCTTTGAAACAAGATATATATGTTTGTATGCATTTATCGATAATTAAATCACAGCATCATGCACACAACATAAATAACAAACTATGAGACATCAAAGAAAACTAATATAAATAATTACAACTTATTAACTTGTTAACAGCAGTACAAAAACTTAATGACAGAACAACACAAGAATAATACTTCATAAGAAGAAATAAGAATATGCAGTTTTGGAATAAAATTTTAATTGATTTGTTCATTTTAATTAATTAATTTATTTATATATGAATACCATCCTTGTATTACATGTATACGATGTATTACAAGTAATTTCACATAAAAAGGGCTCATATTGCTAACAATATTTATATTAATAATAATGTATACAATTATTCAGAAATCGTGAGATGCGGTCTGGTGTGATGTAGGTTTCAGAAAAATATGTCGTTACCGATCATTCTTTCCTATTCTTACTGGGTTGGGTCTCAGACGACAGATACACTCTGAAGCTGGTGAAATGCATCTGAAAGACTAACCCAGCAGGATAGGCTGACCAAAATGATCTGTAACGACCAATTTCAGGTTCATCACCCCGCATAGAAATCTCACAATAGTTTTTGAGCTTCCTAATACAGAAGTTTCTAAAATACGACTATAAAATAATCACAATAAAAAGTATTATTTTATTTATTTTTAATCTTGAAAGATACTTTTTTGCCAAGTACGCTTAAAAAACAATACTTTAATACAAAAACTTATTAGCAAATTAAATTAAAATATTTATAAACAAATTTGTATAGGTTAGAAAATGCCCTTATGTTTTAAAATTTCAGCATAAGTTATGATTAAATGTATTATTTCTTAAGCAGTATATTTAAGGCAGTGTTTATAATATGTAAGATAGCTAAATCATATATATATACAAGTGTGATGTAGGTTTTAGAAAAACAGTTTCTTTATCGTGTCAACATTTCGATCATTATTGAGATCATCTTCAGGGCTCAAAGTGTTTGTTTTCTGTGTACACAATAAAGATCGAAACATTGGCATGATAAACAAAATGCTTTTCTAAAACCTAAGTAACACCAGACAGCATCTCACCATCTCCAAATAATCATTAAACTTATAGAATGTGAAACTTTAAAAGTATACCAAATGTGACTGGACACCAGTTACAGAAGAGCATGGATTTGCAGAACCATCATCACGTCTTCCATAACTTTTAGCAGCATTCTGTTTCTTAGCCTAAAAAATAAATGTACTAGTAAGATTTTTTCAATGAAAACAACCTGTACGCTGCCCTGTAAGTCCTGCATCTACGAACACCTACTTATCTTCTGAGAGGTAGAGTCGCAATTCTGCCTCTCTGCAAGGAGAGATTAAACCTTCGGAAGGAAATTCAGATGAACAAGACAAGGTTCTTGGGATGTCACGATCCAGAAAATTAAATTTGATACAAAATTTCAAATTAAAATACCCAATAGAGCAGACCGGGAGAGAGATCTCAGTTATTGTCATGATGACTATGTCTGGCATACAGCTGCCGACCGAGTATGGGTATGGAGATGGAAATAAATCAATGAATAGAATTCGTATAAGTCTTGGACAATATGTCTTTCAGGCAAATTGTGCCAGGAGATCAAAAGACATTTAAAGGCAACTACCTCATTGGTAATAAAGTCCAGAACTGTTTGGGATTGTATCAAGACTCTGTCAGACATTGAGGAAAATAACAAAATTATCCTTGTTTGGCACCTGGTCATGCAAGGCATATGGGAAATGAACCGGCCAACTAATTGGCCAAGGAAAATTGAATCAGGACACTTACTGGTCCTGAACCCTTTTGCAGCATACCAAATTGCCAATAACTTCATCGGACAACAGGTTAAAAATAAGTCCTTACTTTAATGGGAATATATCCAGGACAGGCATTTGAAAATGTTCATTAAAGGACAGTTCATAATCATACCCATGTTTTTTTAACATTAATATATTTTTTTGCTGGATATAATTTTTTTGCATGATCATTTTGATGTTTTTTGTGTTACCGGGGAGTGTACATTGGTTGAGTTAGGTTAAGGATAAAAAGGTTAAATGTTTGAACACATAAGACGCAACGTGTGTCATACCAACTGTCCTTCTGAGTGTGGCGCATGCACAGTCTGCATCCTCCTATTAATTTTTTTCAACTGGAAGTGATTTTTTATATATTCTGTGAAAACCAAATTGCTTTTCTCTGTATATGTTTTGTTATTTTAATTAATTGTTTAACCAATGTTGAATGATTATGTAAAATAAAGAGAAAATAACTGTAAAAAGTATAAATGACTTTTATTCAATTACATAGCCAAATTGAACAAACATTCTGCAGGTTGCGTTCTTAGTGCTATGGGGATGCCACATTGCATCATATAATTTTATATCATGTAAATAAACGTAATTTAAAAAAAATAATTGAAGTTATTTTTAAGTACGAGAGTTATTTTGTACGATAAATTGGGTTCTGCCGTGGGCAACCAAAATGGCCAAGCATAGAACTCAGATGTGTTAAAATTGGAGTATAGAAAATGTTCTTACCTTTGATTTACCACCTTGATTATTTTTCAACAATGCTTTTTGTTCTTTGAAGGCTGCAAATCGTTGGTTTTTCTGAAACAGTAAATAGCAAAAAACAAAAAAAGAAGTGAATAAAGATAAACACAATCAAATAAATAATACACTTTTTTTTAAACATATCTTCACTGAATCACTCACTCTTTCCATAAAAGATGAATGTGATTGCTTGTCGGAAGCAGGCTGTTCTTCATTCTTTTGCGATTGTAAGCGTGAAGCACGTGCATGAAACTTCTACAAAATAATTAAATGAAAAATTAAATCCAACATGAAAAAAACCAACAATATAAACTTTGTACCTTAGATTTGCCAAATGGTGGATTATTTTTTGTCGTAACTTTCTCTTCTTTAATCGGTGAATGCACAGGTACAAATTGTTTGTTCCTCTGAAAGAAACGAATGTGTATAATTAACACAACTATAAAATAATACTAAAATAATAATATATTAAAAAAAACCCCACGGCATTAAATGCAAAACATATGTAAAATAATTAAACAAAAATTATACAAGAATAAATCTAATGGAACTATTTCTTACTTTGCTTACAAAAGCTGGTGTATTTTGCTGGTCTGATGAACTCTTTGCAGTCTGATCTCCATTTTTTTGCGATGACTGTGAGCCACGTGATTGATACTTCTAGAACAATAAAATCAAGATGAACCTATTAGTTTTGTTTTATTTATGTATCTTAAAAATTCAACAAAAGACAGCAGGATATGCTATGAAAAGATAGAAAAATGGTGTATAACTGTTTTTAATCATAAATAGAAACATTTTAAACAACAATGTTTTGTAAAAACAATATCAATTTTTTAACATTGTTTTAATACACCTCTTTAAGACTTACAACATGTGAAATAATTGACTAAGAATTCATAATGATGATTTATGATAAGTGAGTTAGGAAGGGTTAGGTTAGGTTGAAATAGGGTTAGGGCTAAGTTAGGTAGAGTTAAGGAAGGTTTACGTTAGGTTAGGTAAGGTACAGTTAGGGAGATTAGGCTAGTTTTTCTGTACCCAGCCCTAAAGCAAATCTATGTTAAATTGACAAGGTCCAACTGTTGACTCCCAAAATCTTACCAATAATGTTAACTAAAGCAGGTTTATCAATGAATTACAAAGGTAAATAGAAAAATTAATTGCAATCTATGAACTAAAATCCCAACAAGTTCAAAATAATGGAAGGAAAAAAAAATTAAACAGAGAAAGGTTGTTAGTAAGGTGTTAACAAATTAAGTAATACACTAAGTTTTTTGAATGACTGATCCCATCTAACTACAAAGAATTAAATAATAACTAAACTTAATAAAATTTGACAGGATCTCCATAATGAAAAAGTTTAAATTTTAGTACCTTTGATTTGCCAAATTTATTTTTTGGCACCGCTTTCTGGTCTTTAATATGTGAATGCAACGCTGCATATTGTGGACTATTCTAAAATAAATAAAGAAATAAAACACAACTGATGTATAATGTTATAAAATAAAATTTGTTAGTAAAATAAAGGATATTGTTTCTTACTTTGTCAACTGAAGGAGAAGATGACTTTTGCTGCGATGAAGAAGCAGATTGCCCTTTATTTTTTCGTGATGAGTGACGAGAACCGTGTCCTTGATACTTCTACAAAAGAAAATAAATAAATAAAAAAATCAAATCTTGAAACTAAAGAGCCAACATCAAATATTTAATAATTTGATTTGAAGGTGATTTGACATTTTTATTAATTGTCCTGTTTGCTAATTCTGAATAGACTGCTAGAATAAAACATTTGAATGAAATTTCTCTAGTTTGAAGTTTTAAATTCTCAAGTTGAATCAATGGACAAGATAGTTTGTGTTCCTTTCGATCAAGCCCTTCTTAAAAGTAACACCCTTTAGTAGGATTGGTAATAGAAATTGAAAAATTCATAACATTGATTTATATGAGAAAAAGATCCTAACAATCATTACAGATTCAAGTAGGCTAAACCTATGAACAAAAAGACAAAAGAGGTAATAAGGCAGCTGAAAAGATGGAAAAGGAGGCTTTCCAAAATTTAAGTTTAAAGGACAGTTGTTCTATATGTACAAAACAAAAATGATCAGGGGTTGGAAAGAAAACACTCAATTCCTTCACTGAGCTCTAGGGGAATATAAACAGTTTTTCTAGCTTACCCAGAATCTTTTTACAAAAAGGTGATTGCTGCAAATGAGAATTACATTCATGAAATTAACATTACCATTGAATGCGAATTATTAGACGAAGAATGATCAGATGGCATAATTTTATTCTTTTTCTCTAATTCTTCATTCGTTGTCCCTGCAGAGCACGATTCTGAAATCTTCATCTGAAAACATATAAAAGGCGTGCAGTGCATTGTGATGATAACGTTTAAAACGTAAACTGTAAGTAAACATTTTTTTAATAATATGAAATGAAACTTGTTTTAAACAAAATTTGTACAATATGAATATTTTAAAATCAAAACTTTAATCCAGGATTGTTTTAATTTATTTTTTATTTACTAATAATCTTTCAGATATATATACATAATATAAATATTTCGTAAAGTTATTATCTTTGAAATAATCTATAATGTGGAATGAAGTTAAATACCCTTTTTTTCTTTATCCTTATGGCACAAGTAAAAGAAAGTACTATAAATTTATTAAATAAAAATGATAGAAAATAAAATAATTATCCTATTTAGCAAATGAACCAAAATGTATATAATTTTGTGTATTTAATATAATAATTAAACAGTTAAACTGATTTCCAAAAACAATCAACATGAGATTGATAATTATGAAATTTAATAATACAGTAAAATAAAGGGGGAAAATTGTTACAAAACTTCTAACTAGATAAAAATTTATATTATTTGAACTTTTACACATATAATTATTGTTTTCTTCATGTCATGTCAAGCAAAAAAAAAAACTCACACAAAAATTGAAGAATCTTGTATAACAAACAGACTCTTGTATAACAAAGAATAGCACTGCGATGATCCTGAAAAAAAGGGCAAAATTAAAATTACCAAATTATTAGTACATTTTGCCAGTTCAATGTTTGAAGCAACATAGTTTCAGCGACTACATTAATAACACACGAGTTGTTTTCTTGTAGTTTGGCCATTTATGAACATTTCCGTCTATTCTGTTTTCAGTCTGTATGACGTGTTTATACCTCTCATCATATTCAGTGGATAGTAAATTAACTTATTTATTTATTGACTTGTTCTGATAATAACTCCTGAAGATGGTGAGAAAACAAAATGCCCCCGACATAACAAACCTGGTAAGAAAGGCAGACCAGAAATGATCGGAAATGACCAAAATACAAGCTCATTACCCAGTAGATAACAAGAGGAAAGCAATATTAAGTTTTTTACTTTTCTAGAAAGAAAAAAAGTGATGGTTTCATCTTCTGATTCCATCAATTCAATAGCATGTATTCCATCAACATGAAATAGTATGTACAGCTTGTAATATTTAGATAATTGGCAAGTTTTGGCGCATTTTTTGCAAATTGCATTGCTTTTTTTAGTTATGTAACAAAAAACAAAAATAATTTGGGGAATAACTAAGAACACAAAGAACAACAGGAATCATTTTGGCATGAGAGATTCTGCAATCAAATTGTTAAAACGAAACCAGAACAATAAAACATCAATGTTTAATGCTCGCTAATTACTAAATGCATAAGCTGTATTTATGATGACAAAATGATTTTTTTTTTATTATATCCATTCCAAATTATATTTCCCAAAAGAGTGTTTAATTGCTTAACTGAAATTAATATAAGTATATTTTAACAATATTTGCCTTTTCCTGATAGCTCTAGGAAATTACATACACAATGAAGAGCATGTTTTTTATTAAATCGTGTAGAGAAGAATGGTCAAGGACCTATAAACCAAAACAAGAAAAACAATATTACTTAATGTTAATTGCTAATTTTTTCTTGTTTCAAGAAGTTCAAAAGTACATCTTATATGGATACTGGTTAGCAACTTTTTACATTTATAAATATGCGCAGTTATACACTACAATATATTCAGAAAAGCCTCGTCATTTGAAAGTTATTGTACAAAATTTAGAAAAATGAGTAAAGTAATGAAATTCAGATGGGTTTACATTAATCCAACGGTCCGGTGATTAATTTGTAACTCTGTTCAACTGAAAAGAATTCAAAAAAGCTTTGACAGAATGCAATTTTTATTTCATTCTGCACGATAACACCTCAATCACAAAAACCGTCTACAATCATGATCTCACTCCTTTGTTTTTTATTTATTGTTTTACAGGATGCAGATCACATTGTCGTAAAGCATAATTAGAGCAAATATGACTGGATGATGGTCAAACTAGCATTAAAAAAAAGCCTGGAACATAATGCTCAAATGGTGCCAGGAAAAAGTCCTAAATATAAATCTCTTGAGGGTAACTATCAAGCCATTCACAAAGAAAAAGAATGATGAAATAAACAAACCTACCTAAGAATAGTACTTGCAAGAATAAAGGCTTAATCCCCACACAGAGCATTAAAAGCACAATGGACATGCTAAAGAATCTGTGGTGGAATAAAAGATTAAAACCTTGTCATACTTTGCAACAGTCAGACAAGAAGCTACATATAACGGCCAAAAATAGAACAAAGAGAAGAGAACTATTTAAATTCAAAGAATTGCATCGCTCAGCATCACCTATGTTCTTAAAACCCACAGCCTCAATGGAGAATGTATGGAGCTGCAACCTTTACCCATCCACTAAGAATGCATACAGCTCTTCTCTGCTAGATGGCTCAAAGATGAGAAATGACAGGAATGGAATTATTAGTCATAAAAACATGTGCACATGAAATGAATAAAACACACTACAAGGGTACAATAGTAATGCAATAAAATAGCCTGGTAGCTCTAAAATATCTCCTATGAGGTCAAACTCAAAACTAATCTGGAACAGCTTAAAAAACTGGGGTGTACAATACCTTGACACTAAGATTACAGGTCATGTGGGAATATCTGGCAACAGAGCTGACATCTTTGGCAAAAAGGGAGCCTTGAAACAACACAGACCTAATCCATCTTATGGCATAAATAAAACACACACACACACACAAAAGAAAAAAAATCTTGGGTTACTAAAGAAGGCAACAAAAACTGGGAACGTAAAATGAAATAAAGCAAAATCCTTCTTAACAAAAAAGAACTAAAAATCCTAACAGGCATATATACAGGACATGATCCAGTAAAATACCACTTGACAAAATAGGGTATTAGCAGATAACCATTGTTAAGGCTTTTGTATCTGGGGAAGCCATTCCACATTTCTAAAGAAACAAAAATATTCATTTAAAACAGAATAGGCAAAAGTGCAAAAAAGGAAATTCCCGACTACTCTAGGGAAAAAATCATCATCAGTTGTGGATTAATTTTCAAGGGTTTCAAGCTTTAACTCATCATACGTTTCTATACTAAAGCATCACTGATGATGCCAAAATACTGAAATGCCAATCATAGACCAAAACAGCTGGATAGGCAGACCAAACTGGCCAAAAATAGTAGGAAATGACCAAGCAACATTATCATGTATTCACTTGATTGTCTTTGTCTTAACCATGACTATAACTGTATAATGATGAAAACATTGGAGAAATAAGAAGTCTGACTCAACAGAAAAAAAAAACTAAAAGTCCTAACAGACACATTTACAAGACATGCTCCAGAAAAATATGTCTTGAAAAAAAATTGTTAACAGATGACCAATGTTGACTATGTCAGGAGACAGAGAACACAGAGCCCCATACATAACCCGCAATAGCCAGGAAAAGGCAATTATATTTGGAAAGCCATTGTACATTATTAAAGGAACAAAAATATTCTGGGCAAACCATAAGCAGAAATTGAAAATAATAGATGAAAGTGCAAAAATGGGGAAATCCCGACTATCCCAGATAAGGTAAAACCATCATCAGTTGTGGGTTAATTTTCAAGGATTTCAAGCTTCAACCATCACAAGATTCTACACTTAAGCACCTCACATAATAAATTGCACCTCACACAGACCAAAACAGCTAGGATAGGCAGATAAAGCTTGCCAAAAATAATCGACAGACTAAGCTACATTAGACTTGTCTTTGTTCACACCATGAAAATGACTGTTTTGATATGAAAAAATAGGATAAAGACATTAATATGTACATGTAATATATTAATATGTTCAAGTAAAATACCACTTTGGAAAAATTGAAAGACGGATGACGAAGTCAGCAGTGTCCTGAGAAAACTCCTTTGCAAAAAGCCTCGCAATATATAGGAAAGCCTGACCAATAAAGTCCTTGATACCATGTCCTTGAGAAAGGAAAAAACTACAGTATGTTTTTTCCTTTAAAGAATTTAACTTGTACATTGAATAGGGACGTTGTTTGGGTTGTTTAGTGTGCACGAGTGGTTTGCCACGAAATCTCGCGTTTCTTAAATTGTAGGCGGTTTTAACGATTGATAATAATATTTATTTAATCACATTATAAAAGTAAAATAATGAATTTTCTTTCTGTTTGAAAATTTTCGTTAGAAACAATCGCAATAACAAAAGAAGGAAGGGGGAGAAACAAACGAAGTCTTACAACAGGCCCAAGATGGCCGACCAAGTTTATAAATTTGACTTTATTTTATTTTTAATTTGTTTAAACAAGGCAGAAAATGAACAAATATGGTTTAAAATGAATAATTTATAATTGCGTTATTTTAATAAAATACAAACTTATTTGGAAAACTATAATTATACGTTAACCATATTTAACCAAGTGAATCTGTTCCAAATAAAAGGCTAATAATTTCAACTAATCAATTTATATTAAGTGCATTTACGGTTAAAAGTTACAAAATAGCTTATGAAAATAAGTGTTAGTGCAGAAACTATTTAAAAAAAAAGAATGGAAAAAGAAGTAGAGGTGTTGGAGAGAAAAGTACGAGAGTTCAAGAGTAATATAAGTAAAATATTTAAAAAAAAAAGTATATATCTACGCTTGAAACCAGTCCATCTAAACAACTCGTAAATACGGTTCACAATATAAAAAATTAAATTAACTTTAAACTGAACAATTGTAGAAACGTGAAGAACAATGGCGCAGTGATGCTGTCTGTAATATGTCGCCGTTAAAAGAGAACAAAAGTTCAAAAACAAAGAGCGACCGAATCTTCAAAATTGCCTGCAGTCTTGATATGAAGTTTTGGAAAAATGAAAAGTTTAAACCCGAAAAAAATTTAGTTTTGATAACATTGAGGAATCCCGGCGTGGAAAAAGAGGTTGGATTTATTTTTTTGTGGAGGGACAACGATAAAATATTAAATTGAGATTAAAACTAAATTTCCGGATAGTAAATTTCAAAGTTACACGTCGGAGAGGTGGGGAAGAGGCTCTGGTAAATTCCGCTGTCCAACATCCTACAAAGTACGTTTTACACTATTTTGAGAATTGTTATTTCGACTTTTTTTTTCAAATCAACTGACGCAGAAAGAAAAGGTCTAAGTTAAACCCGCCAGAATGTCAGAACGGACAAATTTTTATTAAGATTCTGTTAAATTCTTTTCGTCTCAGTTTCTCAAAAGATTGCCTCATCTTGAGTCATTCTTGGTGCTGTCATATTTTTCCGACATCTTCCAATCCGACGAAAAAATCTTTACGAAATAAATTTTTCCTCTACAGTTATAAAAATTTCGAAAAAAAAATTCAACTTGAAATTAGCCAGATTATAATTTTCTGCCTCAACTATTTTGCCATCTTTCTCAATAGCCCTAGAGTCCAATTAATTTTTTTTTCACTGATAAATTCCCTTTATTATTTTACCTAATATGCAGTAATAAAAATATTTTCACATTGAATTTTCTATATAATAATCTAGACTTTAATTTCAGACCGTCTGTCAGCATGAGTGTTCTAAAAATAGTTCTGCCTATCATCTATTAACATTGATAATTGATTTTTATATTAATAAGAACGTTTATGAAAGCTGTAACTCCGCATAATAAAATTTAAAAAAACCTGAGAAATGTGTGAAATGGCAAGAGTCGATAAGTTGGTCTGACAAACGGGTTTCGGCATTTTGCCATCTTCAGTGTGTATGAAAACTATTATAGGCTTCAAAATATTTAATTCTAATTTGCATAAGCCCTCCGAACAATTCGTATCTATTGAAATAAAGCAAACAAAAACAATAAAGCAACAAAAAATTTTTGGCAGACAAAAACTAGATGCTTTCTCTCAGATCCCCTTCCAAATGTCACAAAAATCACAAAAATGTCGGTAACTTTGAAAACACACCACCGATCGGAAAGAAAATTATATGGACTTAGAAACCTACAACCTACACACAAAGGCTAAAACATGGATCCGTAATTAAACCAGAAACTGATATGTAAAGAGGTTTTGTCGGTTTCTTCTTTATTTTACACACGTATAATGATAGAATACCAGACTTGTTAATATAGGGCGAAAGAAGAGAAATTAAGCTTTCGAAGCGTTGTAATAATTAATCTTTTTATGTAAGGTTTTATTTAAATGAAAAAGCTAGTGTCACGAGCGGGATCCGAACCCACGACCTTAGGCTTAACACGCCGCTGCTCTAACCACTTGAGCTAACGTGACTTCGATCCACTCGGACACCAACATCACATATCAACCTACAACCTTTCGAAATTTCCTTCCTTTTTGCCATTTTTCAGCCGAAGGACGTGGGATCGAATCCCGCTCGTGACACTAGCTTTTTCATTTCAATAAAACCTTACATAAAAAGATTAATTAATTGAAAGAAGTAATTTGGTCAATCAAACCACTAAATATAATGGAGTTGTAATAACGTTGAATTTGGATAAAACACGGAAGAGGTATGAATTTGTAAGCAGAACACCGGACATCGGAAAGAACATTGCCTCCGGACCAAGCCGGCCCAAAAATGTTTATTAATATTTAGTTAATTAAATTTATTTAATCAATATTTTTTTAAATTAAAAATTCGTATTTAAGAGCTTTACAGGGTGCTTAAAACGGAGTCGATTTTTTTTTCAAAAATGTTTTTTTACTTACTATACTGGAAGCAGCATCATTCGGTATATGCAATTTTTCATACATCTAGTTTCATTTGTAACAATCCAGTGTATGATTTTTTTTTATCCTAGGTAAAAGACCAAATGGACTGTTATATAAGAATACTAATCTTGAAATGCATACACAACAAAGGCAGAAAAAAATGTAAATTACTATATTACTATCACTCTCACTCTTTCACTCTCCGTCTTTCTCCTCTCTTTTCTACACTGGTCCAGACTTAACGAAACGGGCGTTAACGAAAAGAACCATAGGTAAAATTGTATATTTTGAAAATTGGTGTCAGACCTTGTAAAAAAATCTAACAAGATACCGTCAAGATAAGAATTTCCGGCCCGGAGGGCCAAATCTTTTCTTACGTTTTCTAGCAATCGACGAAGAAAATTTAATGCTATACTATACAATATATTTAATAATAAATAATGTATAATAATTAATAAACTGGGTATTATATAAATATACAGGTCTTGAAATGACAGTACTTAAGAAAAAATAGAATCAAGATTTTTCTTTATTTTTGAGAAATATAATTACGAAATACCTCATTAAAAATGGGAGGTATCTCACTATATTTATTTCTCCACTTTATTTATTTCTCCCTCTCTCGTTCCCTCTTCCTCCTTCCATACCTCTCATACACTACTTTATCTCTCTTGCCACTCAATCTCTCTCTCTCTCTCTTTTTTTTCTGTCCCCTTATTACTCTCTCACACTTTCACTTTAACTATTACTTTCTCTCTCCCGCTTCCCTCCCCTCCCCTACCTCCAACCTTCTCTCTTTCCTCTTCCTTTCCTGCTCTCTCACACTTTCAATTTATCTCTTTCCCTCTCACTCACTCACTCTCCCCTCTTTCACTCACATACTCTCTCTCTCTCTTTCTCTTCCACTCTCACACTTTCATTTTATCTCTTTCCCTCTCACTCACTCTCTCTCTCTCTTTCTCTTTCATTCTCACATACTCTCTCTTTTTCGCTTTCATTCTCACTCTCTCACTTTTTCTCTCTCTATCCTTCTCTCCCGCTCTCTCTCTCTCTCTTATCGTCTTTTTCTCCCCCACTCTCTTCTCTCTTTTTCTCTCTTCCTTTCCTTCTCTCTCATACTTTCACTCTCTTCTTTTTCTATCTCTCTTATTCTCTTATCTACCTTTTGCTTTTTTTTACATATATTCCTCTTTTTTTACTCTCACTCTATCCTCTCACTCTCTCTCTTTCTCTCTCTCGCTCTCTCTACCTCTCTTATTCGCTCGCTCTCTTTTGATATATTTTTCACTTGCACATATGTCTTTTTTCTTAAAGAACTTATAAGACTTATAAAAAATATTATGTAAATCCCTTTTTATAAAAATTTTCTCGACCCCTTAAAACACGTGCTTAAAGTGTTTCACATTTTCTTCGATTTTAGGTCTAATTTGATAGAACGTTCGGGCTCGTTTCTAACATTTTTCATCGTAGTATAATTAAAAAACAGTTGAAATAGTTCATTCCACGACCTTAGCCTTTCAAGTTCTGACTGCTGTTTTTCATCACGCAAGATTATTGTTCCGTTAAAGACTAAAAAAAAAAGTTAAAACAAGCGGACCAGGGTGATGTAAAATGAACAAAAGTACACCATTTTTGACTCGGAATTGAACGTCATCACCTGTTGGAAGTATTGAATAACGTGAGCACATGTTTAGCGTAACCTCAGTGATTGAGAAGAAACGACCTTGTAAATTTATAGAAAGTTTTTCTTCCTGTTGTATATATAAATTCGGCCAGGTTTTCGACTTTTCATTCCCCTCTTCTCGGTCAATGTCTCAACCCGAGTTGTAACTTCTCCACTCGAGTTGACTTTTTTTATTACATTTTTTACAAGACACTTTCATTATCAAAAAAAAAAGACCAAAAAACTGATAAGAACTGCTGATAAACATTCGTCTTACTACTGTCTACTGACAATTATTGGGATTTTTATCATATTCCGGACCAAAAGAAGAAAAAAATGGTATATTTTTGTTAAGATGTGTCGTTAAAATAAAAACAGAAAACGGAGATGAAAGAGAAATCATCTATTGACTGGATCTTCCCAGTGCTCAGAAAGCCTTTCTGCGGGTCCTATTTGTGGAAAATCGCCAGCAACTTTACAATCACAGCCGTCGGATTATTCAGCAAAATTCTCATCGGTGAGTTTAAAATTTTTTTTCTTTTAAATTTGAGTTCTTTTTATTAGTTAGAGATCGAACTGCAACAGTACTTGGCCAGTTTTATTTTTTAGAAAGCTTTTCTCAAACCCAATTTCCGTCGATCAAATGGAAACACTAGAGACAATCTATTATCTCAATTAACCTTTCTTGTCCCATGTTCTTTGTAATAGATTAGAAACATAAAATGGTTTTATTTGTCAAACACTTCCAACTGTCTAAATAGAAAAATCGGCTCAGATTAAAATCAATCTTGATACAATACAATTGATTGTTACGAATTTACTCAGCAATTGTTGGCTATTGTTACGTATTTTTGTTGGATTCGTGGTCCTTCCGGAATCCATGGTAATGTTGTAATAGATATCCATGTCAAACATTGTCAGACAGGATGGTATAGGTTTCCGACCCCAGTCTCAGATTTTAATTGCCAAATGAAATCGTGCAGTACTAAAGAATGGCAGTCCTATTGTGACTGACTGGTAAAGTTTATTTCTCTCTAAACTCAAACCAGAAGAAAAAGCCATGGTTTTACAATGACAAACATTAATAGGCAGGACTCTCGGACAATCAACAGGCTTAGAAGTAACCGTGGGATATGTGGAGTATGCCTGCACAGAATCTACATACATGATGATGACCTTCACAAAACATGTGGAAAATCAGAGGATCTTGAGTACCTCATTATGACTACTAATGGACACTTCAATATTAAGGGCTTGGAAAAACCAGTAAATTAATTAAGTCTCTTTTGGGCTCTGAGAGTTAAGAGGTTTATGAGGCGAGTCTGGTGTATCTTCGAGCTGGTAATATACGGATTTAAAGGCATCATCATAGGTCGAGTAGGGGTGGGCATCCTGGGGTGGTTGGCTCGGATGGTATGGGATGGGGATAGGTTCCTGAGCATATTAGGCTATGTAGGTATCTTGATGTAGTGGTTTTTATTCACATCTCTGATGGACCTCCGTGAAAGGGAGAATCCATAAAAGGTAAGCCTTCCTCTTCCCGTGTCTTGTCGGTTGTTGCTGGGCTCCTGGAGTGCATGTGTATGCATCCGTTCTAAACTATATTTGGCCAATGTCTGCAGATCAAGGCCACATAAAAAAACCTTCTATTTTCTGCTTTCCATTCAATCAATACGTTTCATAAAGAAGATTTGTCAAAAATTGTATTACAATTGATAATAAAGCAAATATTGATGATTCTTTGAAGTACAAATCTGAACATCTTCCTCCCTATATGTTGATGGTGTTCTACCAGGCAACATAGTCAGTCCCATTCTCTATGAATACACTCAGTATCTTTCAAGTTCACAGCAAAAGAAATAACCTTCACCCTTAGTTGTATCACATCTCTGGATCTACTACAGTTCTTTTCCTCTCCCAGCAACCAACGTCCACTATTTGGGTTTTTACAATGACAAAAATCTTACTTGTGGAAACAATACTACTGTACTTTTATCAATTCCTGACCCAGTAGTCTTCAGATATCTCTAGGACCATCTGCCCTGTTACGAAGGATGGTTCAAGAAATGGACGATCAGACTCATGTCTCCTCTTATCTGCTACAACCCTTCCATCCATCCATTCTGTTGGATCAGATTCACATGTCTCGCCTTTCTTCTTATCTGCTACAACTCATCCATCTATCCACTATGCCGAAGCGAGTGTTCCACAAGGCAGCATAGTTAGGCCCCTTCTCCATGACTGACTACAGACATTCTTATGAATCCAGATAGCATACTGTAATACTTCAGCAAACCTGGACCCAACTCAGTACCTTTCCAGTACATCACAAGAAATAACCTTTACCCTTAGTCGTATCACATCTTTGATCTACTACAGTTATATTCTTCTTCCAGCAACCAGTGTCCACTATTTGGTACATTGGCGTGACAAAAGTCTTACTTATGGAGACAATACTGCTGTGCTTTTATCAAATTCTGGCCAAGTAGTCCTAGAGGTATCTGAAGACTCATGTCACCTCTTATCTACTACAACTCTTCCATCCATCCATCTATCCACTATTTCGAAGCAAGAATTTCGTAAGGGAACATTCTTGGTCCCATTCTCTGTTTACACTAGACATTCCTATCTTCTGACGATGATTAATTATTTTTATATTTGATAGTATCATTTCAGAAACCTGAACCTTTGCCTTTAAGAATAACATGTTGATAATAAAGTGTATAATTTCTCATAAAAATTTAATTATTTACATAGCTGCATTTGGATTTTTTGTGTTTATTTTCCCAGGTAATCGGTGAGAAAATGTCTCAGAGTGGCTTTTTACATAATATACAATTATTGTTTATTCTGAGCGAAATGGTAAACTGTCTGATATAGTAGTATAAACAAGCAGAACTTGGAATAAACATAGGTGAAAAAAAAAAAAAATTGATGATTTATCATTTCGAAGTATACCATTTTGTAATAGAGAACAAATTAATAAGACAATTAAATTTCACATTTTTTAAATAGTCTTCAGCATTCTGTTCTTTGTACTTAATTATTTATTTATTATTATTACAGATACATATTTTTTAAATAGGGTTTGCAACAGCGAGGCCATATTAAATCCTTGGGGAAAGAATGTTTGTAAAAAACGTCCATTTGTAAGTTTTTGTCAAAAACACTGACCTCTCAGAGAGGCATATGACCTCTGCTATTGCAGACTCCTATAAAAAAATCATGAAATAAAATAAATAAATAAAGTCCAGTGGTACGAGATTCACCGGGACCCATACATTAATGAGTCACCACATCAATGTGGTTCTACCATTACTACTATAACCGTTGCTACCACTGGGCAAAAAAACTTCTTATTCTACATGTTAGAATTTTTTTTATTGAACATTTGCACTTTACATCCCAAAGTTTCTTATCTCAACACTTTTTTTTTGCCAGTAGCAATCACAGTAACATAAAAACAGGGCTTTATGTATGAAAAATGTTACTTACAAAATAGTGAACTATAACAATATACAGGGTGTATCATGGAAGATGTCTGCATTCCCAACTTTCTTAATTTTAGTATGATTTTGATCCACCTAATTTTTTTTTATTTTTAAGTCAGTCAGTTCATAGATGTTTCATCAATTAAAAAAGATCATTTTAAAGAATTTTTTGCATTGGTCGGGTTCATAGCTTAATTTTTATAGAAGTTTGCATAATGAGAGTTTTACTACATATTAACACTTTCTTGTCGGCCAGTTACAATCAACACCACTCCAGGAAACCTGAGTGACCTATTTAATGAATGAGGTAACTCAGTTTTAGATTTTAAATCTTTTATATTTTATTTATTTATTTTTGTGGAGGGTTTGAAACAACTGAGGTTCTATCATCCCTCGAGGTGCCGGTTTTTTGGGGGAACCAGAACCAGACTTTGTAAAAACAGCAGCACCCCAAAGGGTCATATGACCTCTGCTGTTGCAAAAC